AAACTTCAACTGCGTGAAACACACAGTAGTATGAAACTTCAACTGCGTGAAATACACAGCAGTATGAAAATTCGGCTGCGTGAAACACACAAACTTCACGCATGCGTAGAGTGTATGGAGTGTACGGGAGTGATTCACGCAATGGTGCGAATAGTCACGGCCATAAAGAAAACAAAAATTGAAAAAACTGATTTCAATTTTTTCAATTCTGTTTTAGCAACAGTTTCCAATAAATTTTTCTGAAAAATCAGATCTATTAAAAAAACAATAGTGAATTCTCTGAAGTGAAGACCACCATTCATTACACATTTCGACGTATTAAAAGACATTTTTCATACGTCAGTCACCAAAATGAACGATAAACAAAACCATTCTTCTAATTATTTCAAGAATTCTGCATCCGGAGTCTGGTAGATCACTAGAGGTGAATTCAAATCAAGCAGGCCTTCATTTCTACACAGCAAATGATTTCCCCTACCCCAGAGAAGATTTACATTTTTGGGACAGGGGTGAGAGTCCCTGCAGAAAAGTCAAGAACCCCAATTCCCGAGTAGATGCAGGGGGAATCCCCGCCAAGGGTGGCGTTGTGTACAAAAGACACGCCGGCTTCTCCATTTCCCCGCGAAATTATCCAGACTCGGTAAATTTCAGTCACTTCCCATCAAACATTCTCTCCGCTGGATGTGAATATCATCACACGATGGCGCTAAAATTTGGGGTGAAATAAACAGTTTAAAAAAGAAAGACAAATCATTTTCTCTGGTATAAATAACATGTATTTATAATTGATCTAAAAAGATAAAAATTAAAATTCTACATTAACATATATAATCTTTCCATTCACTTATTTGTACACTAATGAGAGAAAAAAGCTAAGAGAAAAATATATCGAAGAGAACACGTGCATTACATCTCCCAGTTTCGACAGTAGGGGATCAACTTCGTGATTAATAAATCGCAGTTTGGTATAAAAATACATAGAAGAAGAAGTTGGAATATCATTAAGAGTTGAAACAACTCTGTGAACACTTTGGCCTCTAGTTGGACCAATTCATCTCTTCCTCCTTCGCTCTCGCCTCCAGTTCTCTTTCCTCATATTATAATTCGTATTTTAAATAGTTTTGATGTGACAATTACAGTCTGAACACAAATTTTATCGAACACACAATTTCATCGAACATCTTTTCGCATTGAATACTTGGCAAGCGTTTCGGTTTTAATTAAACGAATATATTATATATCCTGGCAGTGTGAGAAGGTTCATTCGCGCAGCACGTCGTGAGGTTCTGAGTATATTTCAATGGTGAATGAGTACTGCCCTCCATTTTAATGGAATTTGGATTTGGAAAATAGTGTTTCGACTTTGTGGCAATTGCTTCTACCCTGTCACGATGATGTGCACTCTGAATGTCAGAGGTTTCTCCCAAATTTCATTCTCAGCTGTTATACCATTGACTGGTTTTCCATGGATGACCACTTTGAATTCACCAGTTTTCTTCAATTGATGCCTAAAGTGAAGAGCCCATATTCCACCCTTGTCCATGGCCACCTCGAAGTGGTTGGCTTTGTTGCCTTTCACTATCGTGTACTCGATTTTTTCGTCCTTGAGAAAAAAATTTTGTTATAAATTTTCGTTGTGATTTTTGAAAAAATTATTTGTGTAAATATCGTGCATTTTGGTTCTAAAGAAAGGTATCATTCTCGCAGGAAATCAAGTATGAAACAATTTCGTAGAAGAACCTAGCAAAAATTCAACAAAAAACCTACAAAAATTCCATTACCTTGAGCGCCGGCTGCAACTTGATTATCCGCATTTTATGTTTCGTCTGTCTAAGATTCACCTTCATCACGTACTCTTCTCCGTGATGATGCCTTTTTGCTTTTCGAAGCATAGACTTCTTCGAAATCTGTCCGAATCTTCTCTTACGTGGTGACATATGCCTGAGACCGATCGTATGATTGCCGTGACGAATTTTCGTGCCTCTCCTGTGTCTCTCCTTTCCGTTGATCTGTCGATCATAAAAATAAAATTATCACTTCCTCATTATATTTCCAACTTTTGAGGACAACATTTTTGCGCTGGCGGTACGAACCCGATACGTTACACCAATTTTTTTGGTACCGATACACTTTGGCGCTGATTTTTGTGGTGCACATAGTAATTTTAACGCATATGAAAATATTTCATTAACATTTAAACTGCAACAATTGATGAAAATAATGAATTCGATGAAATATGCAAATCTTGCATGGGTCATGGTGAAAAATAAGCTGTTGCATGAAATTTTCGAAATCTTTTTCATTTTACTGCGGCCTACGCATGTAATTAATACGGGGAATCCCAGAAAATTCATGTCGGTACATGCGGTCCCTCTATTATCAACCGTCGGTTCGTCAAGACCTCAGGAGTATGGAAAATTTGATTCGATACTTTCTAATGCATGAAAAATTACGAAACGCATGTGTAATTAAAGTTTCACTATTTAGCTTTCCAGCTTCGTTAATCTAATTGGATTATTTGTCATAGTTTTTGATAAATTTGTTGCTTGAAAATAATTGAATCTACAGTGTTGTCTACAAAAGATACTTGGATATCCTTAATAGTATTCCGTGACTTGAATTATTGTTATCTGTTGCATTGAATGAATAAGGAAATAGGAAGTGTAAATTCGATAGAAAAAAATAATCCAAAAATTTGTAAATTCATAATGTTTATACCCAGTGGATGGTAGTAATGTGTTGAAAGTGTACCCGAGTGTATAAATATACCTGTGACAATAACAATTAGTGATGAAAGTGAAAACATATGGAGAACACGAAAATCGATCATTTGAAATAATAATAATCTTTCATCTTTTCACTAAAATATGAAAATATTTTTTATCCAAAAGTATTTAAGTTTTGTTATTGATGCCATAAAGCGCCGAAAAATCGGCGCTTAAAAAATTCTATTCCGGTACTAACCTTGCAAGAGAAGCACCCCTCCGTCGAAATGATTTTGTCATCCGCTGGGGGAATGTGGTAAGGATCTGGATTTATGACGAACGTCGGAACATTTCCGATGTCCTCCCTGTAGCCCCCTTGGGCCATCGGATTTATCGTCGACAAACAATGTCCCTAGATAAAACGACAGACGAATTATTTAGAATTGACACTCGTGACACTTGAAGCCTTTAAAAAAAGGAAATAAATCCTCACCTGTCCAATGCGTTGATATCCATTTGGACAGCCGCAGAGGAATCCATTGGAGCCACTTGGCATGCATCCAAAGGCACATGGACTCCCCACGCATCCAGGACTCACCTTCAATATCAAAATAATTTTATTCTATTTTTAAACAATTGGGTTTTCGCAATCCTTTCACAAAAAATTGTGTAGAAAATTACAGCGCCCTAGTTGAAATATTAATTGTGAAAAATTTCTGCTAGAACCTCACTGGTAATTGGCACAAATACCTGAACACAACTCTGTCGATTATTATCAAACTGATGTCCCTCTGAACAGCCGCATTTGTAGCTCCCCAAAGTGTTGATGCAGTTGCTCTCTCCACAGGGTGAACTGAGACACTCGTTCTCATCAATACACTGATTGTAGTAGAGATGCTGAACGAATCCGTCCGGGCATCCGCAACGATAGCTTCCCATGAAGTTCTACACGACATAAAGAGCAAGCCTCAATTAACTTGTGTTAACAATTATGATTGCCAGATGGGAGTTCAATACCTGACATCCGTGCTCGCAAGTCCCATCGTCACTGCATTCGTTATTATCAGTGCAGAATTTCCCGTTATGATCGAGTTTGAAACCCCTTGGACAAATGCACCTGAAGCTGCCAAGGGTATTGATGCATGTTCCAGGCTTGGGGCATGTCCCATGTTGTTCACATTCATTAATATCTAAAGCAAGAAAGCATTAGAAGATGGAAGGAAACTAAAATTCAATAGCGAAATCGTAGAAACAGACAGTTAAACTAGTTTTTATCAATCTTTTTCATTTTATTGCTGGCTACACATGTAATCAATCCGGGGAATCCCAGAAAATCCACGTCGGTACAGGTGGTTATTCTATTACCAACCTCCCATTCCCAATGCCCCAAGGATATAGAAAATTCGATGCGATAATCGATAATTAATGAATTATTAATTGAGATACCAACCATGACAAGCATCACCATGCTGAGTGTATCCATCCCTACAAGCGCAGGTGTAGCTCCCCTCAGTGTTAATGCACTTCTGTTGGCACAAATGATTCCCGGTAGCACACTCATCAAGATCCCTGCACCCAACCCCATCAGCATTCAGAATGAACCCAACAGGGCACGAGCACGTGAAGCTCCCGTCTGTATTCTGACAGCTGAATTTGCAGGGACTCGGTGTCAACTCGCACTCATTGACATCATGACACTGCGTCCCAGACTTGTCCGCCCTGTACCCCTTATTACAGATGCACCTGAAGGACCCCAGTGTATTGATACAGATTCCATTCCTACATAAATCTGGGATGGCCCTGCACTCGTCAATGTCCTGTCCATCGAGAGAAAACCCTTTGTCCAAACACAGCTCGTTGTAATTATCAGAATCCCTGGAAGGACAGAGTTCGCAGTGAGTTCCCCAAGCAGCACCCATGGTGCAACAGCAGTCAGCCTTGGTGACAGTCCTCAACTCAGAGGTCCTCGCTGTGCACCTGCCCCCTATGGTCCTCAGGAAGCAGTACCCAACCCTCCTATCAATGCAGGACTTTCCATCAGAATTCTGTTCGAAGCCATCGTAACACCTGCACTGATAACTCCCCTCAAGATTGACACACCGTCCATTCCTACACAGCCCAGAATTGACCGAGCACTCATCAACATCTTTGCACTCGTCAGTCATCCCTATCTGCTGATAGCCAGGTGGACAGATACACATGAAGCTCCCGATGAGATTCTTACACTGGAACTTGCAGTTATTCGCAGGTGTGGAGCACTCATCAACATCGATGCAGTGTCTTCCATCAGCAGCTAGGACATAGCCGTAAGGGCAGATGCACCTGAAGGACCCCAGAGCATTGTGACATCTGAAGGCACACTGATTTCCCATCTCCAGACACTCGTTGACATCCTCGCAGACCTGATTGGCCCCCGGGGCGAAGCCGTTGCTGCAGGAGCACTCGAAGCCTCCCTCGACGTTGGAGCAAGTTCCGTTCCCACAGATGTTCTGATTGTGGACGCATTCATTGTGGTCTACACACCTCCTTCCTGTTTCGTCCAGGGTATAGCCGGGCGGGCAATCGCACCTGAAGGACCCGTCCGTGTTGATGCAGTCGCCACCATGACAGACGTCCTGCATGAAGAGACACTCGTTCAGGTCAACTCCAGTGTCGTCTCTACCTGGGCCTTCTGGGCAGAGGTTCTTGAAATCTTCTGTACCCTCTCTGGGGCACATCTCACAGTTCCTCCCCCAGGCCTTTCCCATCGTACAGCAACAGTGCTTCTTCGTCATGCCCCCCAATCTAGGCGCTAGACACTGTCCCCTCCTGAATTTATCGTAGCACTGCTCCTCCCTAACATCAACACACGTCATCGAGTTCCATTTGTCACTGAGCTTGAAGCCCTCTGGACACTCGCAAATGACGCCACCCTCGGTATTTATGCACTTGCCGTTTTCACAGATGTTGCGGGTCTCGATGCACTCGTCGACATCGATACACCTCTTCTTACTGCTGTCTAGTTCATACCCCGGTGGACAGCTGCAGATGTACGAGCCCATGAGATTCTGGCATTTTCCAGGGTACGGACAGAGCCCCGGGATCTCCACGCACTCGTCAATGTCCCTGCAGTGTTGTCCGTCCTGGGCGAGGATATATCCATCAGCGCACTCGCAGATGAAGGAACCAATGACGTTCTTACACCTTCCGTTCCTACACAAAAACGGCATTACTCTGCATTCATCGATGTCCGCGCAGTCGTTGTTGGGGCTGAGTTTGAAGCCTTCGTAGCACTGACACTTGTAGGATCCCAGGGTGTTGATGCAGGTACCGTTGTTGCAGATGTTGAGGTTCCGTTGGCATTCGTCGATGTCCACGCAGGAGTCCCGGTCTCGAGTCAGGGCGAAGCCCAGGTGGCAGATGCACTGGAAGCTTCCTTGGAGGTTATTGCAGATGCCGTTGGCGCAGATTCCAGGTCTCTCGAAGCACTCGTCGATGTCTACACAGCTTCGTTGACTTATGCCTAGTTTATACCCGGCTGGACATCTACATTCGAATGTTCCTTGGAGGTTGATGCACTGGGCGTTGCCGGAACATGGGTTCGGTGTTTGCTGGCACTCGTTCTCATCAATGCACTGGTGGGAGTCCTCGTCGTAAACGTAACCGATATCGCATTGGCACTCGAAGCTACCGGGGGTATTGATGCACCTACCATGGGTGCACATGGTGGGCATCAAAGAGCACTCGTCGATCTCCTCGGTGTGATTGGTGATGGGGTTCATGATTTGGCCGGGCACCATACCGCAGAGGATCTCGTGTTCCCGGGTTCGTTCACCCGGACATCTTTCGCAGGGCTGACCCCAGGCTGCTCCCATCGAACAGCAGCACAGCATCTTGGTTTGCGGGTGGACCATCGAGTGGCTGCACTGACCATCTTCATACTTCATGTAGCAGAGTTCCTTCCGCATGTCGACGCACTCCTTGCCCCCCGGCATGGACATGTAACCCTCCGGGCATTCGCAGTGGTACTTTCCTTGGTCGTTGATGCAGTAGCCGACGCCGCAAATCTGGGGGTGAAGGGAGCACTCATCGATGTCGATGCAGCTGGTCTTTGTTTCATCGAGGATGAAGCCCTCGTTGCAGGAGCACATGAAACTGCCGAAGGTGTTGGTACAGTGGCCGTTCTGACAAAGGTTCTCGTGTTCCTCGCATTCGTTGATGTCTTCGAGAATGACTGTCAGCCGATTTGGACGGTAGCCCGGGCCACCGGGACACAGCTCTTCGAATTCTCTGGTTCCGACCGCCGGGCACTGCTCGCAACGCGTACCCCACGCGTTACCAATGCTGCAGCAGCAGGTGGCTTTGGTCACGGTGGAGGACATGTCGAAAACACATTGGGGACGCCGGGTACCGTGCTCTTCCCCGGTGAAGCATAAGGATTCCCGACGGTCTGGAATGGTTCAGGTTGCCAACGATATAACTAATACGAATAGAAGAAGAAGCTAAGGGTTGCTTTAGGTCATCCTTTCATCTTTAGTATTACAATGTGAAACAACGAACGCGGTTGACCTAACCCCGGGTTACTAACTCAACCACGCTACCGACTACGCCACTCAACGATATGATATGGGAGTACTATTAGAACTTCTACATAGCCAAAGTAAGCTGATCTATCCTACAGCCATTATGATAATACTGTGGTGTGTAGGTGGTAGAAATATTGACTCCAGACTTTGCAAAATTTGGCAAGATTTGGTTAGCTTCATTGGTTGGTTCATATAGAAACAGCAAAGGTGAAAGGATAGCATATAACATCACTCCTTCGCAATATGCATATACATGTATGACCGTATTATGGCCCAAACTGTAATCGATCAGTAATCGATAGACGGTTGAAACTTTTAACGAATATTAAGAATGCAGTGGAGTCTACTTACCAACACAAGCATTTCCAGCCTCAACCAGTTCATGATTAATCGGACACTCGCACCTGTAAGTCCCCTGGGTGTTAACACACCTCCCGTACTGGCAGGCCTGTGGACTCTCACACTCATCAATATCTGTGCAGTTCCCCCCAGACCCATCCAACTTATACCCATCATCACACTCGCACCTGAACATCCCGAAGATGTTCTCACACTTGCCGTAAACACAGAGATTTCGGAACATATCACACTCATTGATATCAATGCAAGCCTGCTCATTATTCTCATCAGGATGCATGAACCCCATTTCGCACTCACACCTGAAGGACCCCGGATAATTAAGACAGTGTCCATTCTCACACAACGTGGGATCATTCGTGCACTCATCAATATCCCTGCAGGTGTACCCATCCCCCCTGAATCCAGCGTCGCAGACGCACTTGAAGGATCCCTCCGTATTGATACACTGGGCATTCATGTCACACCCGCCATTGTTAACAAGACACTCGTTGATGTCCCTGCACTCAATCCCATTCCCAATGAATCCATCGTGGCATGTGCACTGATAAGACCCCGGGGTGTTCTGACATGCCGCGAACTCACTGCAAGAATGATCATTGAGAAGGCATTCGTCGTCATCAGTGCAGTCCGGGCCGGAATCAGGTTTCACAGAGTACCCCTCCTCGCATCGGCAATCAAAGGACCCAATGGTATTCCTGCATTCTCCATACCCGCAGATCCTGGGCTGTGTCACGCACTCGTCAATGTCAATGCAAGAAGTTCCATCCGTTCCGGGTAATAGACCATGCCTACAATGGCAGGAGTAAGTTCCCGCCAAATTCGTGCATTTGCCGCCATTGCATATTCTCGGGTTTTCCTTGCACTCGTCGATGTCAGAACAGGTCCTCCCGTCTAAATTGAGTGCCAGCCCAGGTCCGCAAGAACACGTGAAGCTTCCAGGGGTGTTCGTGCAGACATCTTCACACCCGGCATTGTTGACCGCACACTCGTTGATGTCCTCGCAATGGGATTTGAGGCCCGTCTGCCGGAAGCCGTCGTCGCAGATGCACTGGTACGTCCCCATCATGTTCTCGCAGACTCCGTTGGAGCAGATGCCGCTGGTCCTTGAGCACTCGTCGATGTCCTTGCAGGACTGCTTGTCAGGACTCAGCTCGTGACCTGGGGGGCAGAGACACCTGTAACCCCCCTCAACGTTCCTGCAGGTGCCCCCTCTGCACAACCCCGGCGTCTCTTCACACTCGTTGATGTCCATACACACCTTCATGATGTCAGACCCTCTGTACCCCTCATCGCACTCACACTGGAAGGTCCCAGGGGTGTTGACACAAGTCCCATTCCCACACACCCCTCGCATGATTTCGCACTCGTCAATGTCATTGCACTTGATCCCATTCTCGTCAAGAGCGTAGCCTTGATTACATCGACAACTGTAGCTGCCCACTGTGTTCTTGCATCTCCCATTGAGGCACATCCCCGGGAACTCGATGCACTCGTTGATGTCGACCTTCTCCGTGAACCCATCCCCCTTAGGACACAACTCGGAGTGGACCTGTGTTCCGGTCTTTGGACACAGCTCACACTTGTCGTTGCCCCAGGCCCTTCCCACCGAACAACAGCAGATGCTCTTGGAGAATCTCCCTTCGATGGAGCTCGTACACTGACCATGACGGTAATCCATGAAGCAGGTCTCCTGTCTGGTGTCTATGCAGGTCGTGTGAGTGGCGTCCAGGGTCAGCCCCGGTGGGCATTCACACCTGTAAGACCCATCAGTGTTCACACAGGTCCCACCACCCTTGCAGATCCCAGTGTTGAGCTCACACTCATTGATGTCGGCACAAGCTTTCCCATCGACTTTAGCGTAACCCTTCGAGCACTCGCAGAGGGAGTAGTCACAGGTCTCGCAGGGGCTGCCCCAGGCAACGCCAACCGAGCAGCAGCACTCGGACTTCAGCGCCAGTCTGGGGAAGTTGTTCTCACATCTGCCGTCTATGATCTTCGTCCAACAGGTACCCCGTCGGTTATCCATGCAGATGTGTCCTGTGTTATCGAGGATGTAACCGTTGGAGCACTCGCACTGATACGACCCTTTGGTGTTGATGCAGATGCCGTTGATGCAGACATCCGCCCCGAGCTCGTCGCACTCGTCGATGTCCTCGCACATCTGGTTAGCGCTGTTGAATCTGGTCCCAGTTGGGCAGACGCATTGGAAGCTGCCAGGGGTGTTTCTGCACTGACCACCGCTGCAGAGGGACTGCTCCAGCTCGCACTCGTTGATGTCGCTGCAGATTTTTCCGGTTGGGTCCAGCTCGTAGCCGCTGTCGCAGATGCAGCGGTAGGTGCCCATCAGGTTTTCGCAGCCACCGTTGACGCAGATGTTGGGGTTCTGCGCGCACTCGTTGATGTCGTCACCGTTGTACGTCATTCCGGCTCCGTGGGGGCAGAGGGCCTCAAACTCTGGACTGTTTGGGGTGGGACAGCGCTGGCAGCTGCTCCCCCAACCCAGGGGTTGGCCCAGGATTATCGTGCAGCAGCAGCAGCTGGATTTGGTCACGGCCGTTGACGTCGGGTTTGAACACTGGCCGTCTCGGTACTGCGAGTAGCACAAGTCGCGTCGGGTGTCCAGGCAGGAGCGACCGTCTGGGCCGAGGTCAAAACCCAGGTTGCACTCGCATTTGAAGTTTCCGGGGGTGTTCTTGCAGCGGCCGTTCTGGCAGGGACTGCTCAGGCACTCGTCGATGTCGATGCAGTGGCTCTGGTCCGGGCCCAAACGGAAACCAGAGTCGCAGACGCATTTGAAGGATCCCTCCATGTTTACGCATCTTCCGTTGTTGCACATTCCCGTGGTTGAACACTCGTCCATGTCCACGCAGAAGGTGTTGTCGTTGGAGGGGGTGAAACCCGATTGGCAGACGCAGTGGTACGAACCCGGGGTGTTCTCGCATCTGCCGTTCAGGCAGATTCGGGGGTTCTCGGAGCACTCGTTTATGTCTGGAAGAAGGAGGAGGGATGGTGAAGCAGATTGTTGGGGGGTGAAGGAGTGGAGGAGTTGTGCTGAGGTTTCACCGTTTTAATGCGGCGGAGGTAAGCTACGCATTTTGAAAATTTTGGGGAAAATCGAGAGCTTTTTGTGGGAAATTTCATCGGAGTTCTATTATATTGCTAGAGAACAATTGAAACTCCGTGGAATTTGGTAATAATTTTCAAAAAGGCGATGTTAAATTAGAAAAAGGCACGAGAAAATCATGAGATTGTAAATTTCACTGGAAATTGGAGGAATTTAAAATTTTTGAGTGGCAAGAAGACAACAATTTCCTGACTTACTTAAATTTTCAATCAAAAGGTGAATAATTGGTAGAAAATTATTTTATTAATCAGAATTAAATTAGTGTGTCTTTATTAAATGAGATTGAGGGGTGAGGAAACTATGAAATTTTTCGGCCGATCCTATCGAAATGTTCAATGGAAAATATTCTATAGAAAAAGTCAGTGGAATTCGATTTTTTTATGCAACTTGTTCTATTGAGATATTTTCTACCGAATTTTCTGGACTCAAATTTTCCAACTTTTTTTCATTCTATTTTTCTTTTTTTTTTCATCAAGAAAATAAAAATAAAACTTGGAACATTTAAGCCAAGAAAATTCTATAGAAAACATCTCAATAAAATAAATTATACAGAAAAATGGAATTCTGCAGACTTTTTCTATGGAATATTTTCTATCGAACAACGCAATAGAATGGGCTAGGTTTTTCTATTGAATTTTTTTCACTCGTATAATTTCGAATTTTCTAATTTAATGCACTTTGACACTGGATTTATCGTCTGCCCACAGCAAGACATTTACCCCTCAATACTCTACAAACATGCAGAATTGATCGATCAATCCACGCAGACTTTTTTCTGCTATTTAATAGCTAGACGTACGAGATACGTTAAAAATATTGGACAGGGTATCATCAGTGTACTCGGTAGCCTCGGGTGCTTCCGCATTCGTGGTCAACACCCGCTTGTTATCCTCTTAATGCTCTCGATACCACGCGAAGTCTATTTCAGAGTGATAAACTGTCGACTTGTAAATTATCCACTGTGTGGATACAGGCGTTGAGGTAAATCCACAGCCTGGTGAAAGGTATCGGTGGAGAAAATTTAGATTAGATGATACTTATTCACTAAGACTCACCAGTACATGTGTTCTTAGAGGGTGATAGGATGTAACCGTCGTTGCACTGACAACGAAATGAACCATTCATGTTTGTACAGTGGCCGTTTGTGCACATTCCTGTGTCTTGGCATTCGTCGTGATCTGCAGACAGTTAAAAATGAGGGCTAGACATGTGTAAAATAATACAATTGAAAAATGTTGCAAATTTAATTGCCTTTTCAGTAAATTTTTTATTAGTTTTTGGTCGATTTTATTGAAAAATTCGACAGCTTTTTTAATTCCCAATGGAAGTTTTGTATTCGTTCATTGTGACGATCTTCTAATTTTACCTGGAAATGACGTAGAATATCATGAAACGTGAAGATATGATGTTTTTAGAAAATGTCCGAATGTGTGTACGAATTGTTTGGAAAATTTTTATAAATCTTCACAGAAAAAAGGACTACAGTTGGAACTAAAAATCTGAAATTTCGTCAGATAATTGGTATTACTTTGAAGCACTTCTGGGCGCAATTTCATCTCAATCGATCGAGTAGTTTACGAGATACAACAATTTCTTGAAAATCTTTTTTCCTCAATATCTCGAAAACTACGTGACTGAATGGAATTTTTTCGACGTCAAAATATTCCTTGTGATAATATCCATCAAATCACATCATAACATTGCATAGTAACTAGGGACAGTTTGGTAATAATCGGCATTTTTCGTTTTTATGAGAAAATCGTTCTGTACACGATAACTCCCTAAAAAACTTAGATAGGGTATTGAAATTTGGTGAGATTGTAGCTCTTATAATATTGCAGGATGGGATTGTGGGTAGGCAAAATCGGAGAAGTGGTTTGGACGATATTAAATTTTTTGTAAAAAACTGTTTTGTTCAATATCTCCCAAACTACTGGTCCGATTAATTTTTTTTTTTTTTCAAAATACTCGTCTTGCCGCTCTCGATCAAGACCAATCAAAATATGACTACCGTTCATACAAAGTTTTCGAGATATTCGCGGTTTTCTAAATTTTTTAATTGAGAGTTAACATGGCGTTCCATAATACGCGTAAAACTTGGAATAAACATCTGAGATTCTGGCTACTAATTAGTATTATTGAGTCACACTTATGTATAAAATTTTGTATCGATCGATTCAATACATCCTGGTCCAGAGCAATTCATCCAAAAAATTTTTTTCATGAAAAGTCACACATCGTCATTTTTTCGAATCACAAAACATTTCATTGTCTAATTCACTGAATTATATTGCGATTACCTTTCGTAAATTAAAATTTGCCACGATTATCTAGGTAATTTTTATTTAAAAAAAAAAAAAAAAAAAAAAATTTCTCTTTGTAGATAAACTCGAAAATTTTCTTGAATGGCTATTTCTCTACAATTATAAATCATCATCGATTAAAACTTTCTTTGAGCTTCTCCCATTTTTCGCACTCACCACTGCAATATTTCCCCTCGCCGGACACCACAAATCCAGGTGGGCAGTGACAGAGAAAACTCCCAGGAAGATTCTGACAAGTTCCCCCCTGACAATAACCCTGTTGACACTCGTCGACATCCTCGCACCTTCCGAAACGCTTGACATACCCGGGGAAACACTCGCACTCGTACCCATCATCAGTGTCGATGCACTTGCCACCCCCGCAGATGTCTGGACGGAGGACACACTCGTTGATGGCAATGTGCTGGGCTTCGGAGCATATTTTATTGTAATCGTCTGGAAATGAACATGACGAGGGCATGGGGTGTCATTACATTCAAATTTTTCATCATCCGTGGAGAAGAATGAGAGGATATTTTACCGCTTCCGGGATTCGGGCAGATGTAGCACTCGTCGCCCCAGCCCCTCCCCATGTTTTTACCACAGCAGCAGTCTTTCTTACTGAGTCTCACTGCCAGTCGATTTTTGCATTCACCATTTCTGTTTACAGCTGTGTAGCATAGTCCTTGTCTACCATCTGAGTGGAAGAGGAAAGAATATTAATGTGACGAATTGGTTAGAAATTTCTATTGAATTTCTGTTGAACTGTTCTATTAGTTTTTGGCCGATTCTGTTAAAATGTTCAATGGAAAATATTCAGTAGAAAAAGTCAATAGAATTCAATTTTTCTGTATAACTTATTCTATTGAGATATGGTCTATAGAATTTCCTCGGCTCAAATTTTTCAAGTTTTTTCGTTTGATTTTCTTGATGAGAAGAAAAAAAAAGAATGAAAAAAACTTGGAAAATTTGAGTCGAGCAAATTCTATAGAAAATATACGAAAAAAATAAGTTATATAGGAAAATCGAATTCTGAACAATTGAACATGTCAATAGAATCAGCCAAAAACTAATAGAAATTTAATAGAATTTTCTAACGAATTCGATAGGTTTTTCTATTAACTTTTTTCCTGCGTGAAAGCCCGAAGCTATCATCATCGATATATCATATAATAAATCTATAATTGGAGAGCTACAGAAATTCCATTTCAACATTTTGAAACGGAGAATTTATACTACTGAATTCCTCCCTATTGCTATTTTACTACTAAATTGGTCCTCAAAAAATGCAAAATAAATTACCAATGCAGAATTTTCGATCCTGACTCTGGATAAATCCAGGATTGCAAACGCAGTAAAATCCCCCGAGTGTATTTATGCACTTCCCATCGCCACAAACATCTTCCTCCTGACACTCGTCCCTGTCCTTGCACTCGTTCGTGTCCATGTCCCGCGCTTGTCCTTCCGGGCATTCGCACTGGAATGATCCTGGGGTGTTGATGCATTTACCTCCCTCGCAGAGGCCAGGGATCGCCTCACATTCATTGATATCTAGAAACAATCAATTAATTAACATATACTGGTAATTTAAGACTAAAATTTCCCATACGAGTTATACAAACTACCAATTAGTAACATTTCCGCGGAAATTTTGAAGAATTTTGTCATTGAAAATTCATGATTTAGAATTTATGTAGAAAAATCCCTGGGAAATGTAAATTTCAGGTTGATTATTCCGGGAAATTGATGAAAAATCAGGAAAATTTAGAGATTTCTCCCCTTGAATTCCGAGAATTTTAAAGGAATTTCATATAAATTGTGAAATTTCGGAGAATTCTGTCATTGAAAATTCATAATTTCGCGGAAAAATCCCGGGGAAACGTAAATTTCAGTTGAATTATTCTAGGGCAATTAATGAAAAATCGGGAAAATTTAGAGAAATCTCCCCTTGAATTCCAAGAATTTAAAGGAATTCCGTGAAAATTCTAGGGAATTTGGTAGTGAATATTCATTTTCACTCGAAAATTCATGTAAATTGTGGAATTTCGAAGAATTTCGTCATTGAAAATTCATAATTGCGTGGAAAAATTAGGGGGAAATGTAAATTTCAGTTTAATTATTCCGAAGAAACTAATGGAAAATCGGGAAAATTTAGAGGAATCTCCCCTTGAATTCCAAGAATTTAAAGAAATGCCGTGAAGATTCAAGGGAATTTGGCCGTGAATATTCATTTTCACTTGAAAATTCATGTCAATTGTGGAATTTTTGTCTTCCTACTGTTCAGCAAATAAGACTTAACGCGAATTTTCAGAGAAACTTGAAATTCCATTGACTTTTTCCCCTTAATCCCTGCAGTACGTCGTCCATGCTACATATGGACTCTTTCCATGAAACTCATTCATTATCTTTCGTACTACTGCAGATATCGAATTTCTAAAAATTTCCCCACGAAGTAGATTAAATTATCAAGACAATGCGACTCGATTTTTCTTTTTCATGTTATTTTTAATATTTTTCTTCACTACATAAACATTACGGAGCTGAATTCGATGTCGGATGCATATTCAAACCTCTCATTTATCGAGATAATTGTTATCAATAATTCTGAAATTTTTACCGAACATTCTTTACATTCCTTTAAACAAAACCTTCGAAACCTTATATTCCTGAAAAAACACTGACCAACGCATTCTCCCTGTTTCGTCTTGATGTGTCCAATTTCACAATCAAGCCTCGCAGGACAGCGCTCGCAGGGGTGACCCCAGCCCTTGCCGACAGTGGCGCAGCACATCTGTCTCGTGCAGACAACCCCCTGAAGATGAACCAGACACTGGCCATTCTTGACTTTAGTGTAACAAGGACCTGTCCTGTAATCCGTTTCACATTTTCTCCCAGTGTAGCCGTAGATGCAGGCACACCTGTCAGGACCAATGCATCTTCCCTGGTTCAAGCACGGCTCACGACAGATTGCTGGAAATTTATGGAATGTCTGAGGAATGTAATGAAGTAGAATGTCATAAAGTAGAATACCCACGCATGAAAAAATTTAATAGAAAAACCTATCGAATTCGTTAGAAAATTCTATTGAATTTCTATTAAACTTTCTATTAGTTTTTAGCTGATTCTATTGACATGTTCAATAGAAACATTCAATAGAAAAAGTCAACAGACGCGTTAATCGAAATTCGACATAAGAATTTGAAAAAATTCATACCCATCAGTATTATCTAAATTAAATTTCGCAAAATATTGATATTTTTTCAAACATTTCCCTCTTATAAATAAATAATAAAACTTGTTTGCAATATGGTGGATTATTTTTTATGAGGTGTCAAAAAAATTCTTGATTTTTTCACATCTAATGAAAAAAAATTCAGATTTTAATCTTTGATTGCAATGGAAATGTTGATTTTCACATAAAACACTGGGTTGAATCCTGATTTTCAAACATTTCTTCTTTGAACAACCAAAACGATAATTAAATTGAGAAAAAAATTAGAATTCCGAATCTAATCAAGTTTTCTGCAATTTTTTTGCAGTTATGAATAATATTTGAATTTACCGTAAGGGTAGAGCTACAAGGAGAGAAATATTCAATAAAAATTACCAGAAAAAAGACGTAAAAATTACGTTTCGAAACGTAATCTGGGAGCGAAGTAAAATTCAATAAAAAGTGTCAATCGTCACGTAAATTCTACGATCTGTTCCGTAAAAATTACTCATCCGTCCGACGCCTCACGGCTAGCCATGAGTCACCGTGAGGGGGAGATTTTAACAACACGTTCCGTAATTTTTCCGGAACTTTTCGTAAAAATTCTTAAACATCCAAGAATTTTCATGTTCTGAGGCATAATAAGTCTTGAAGTTTCTGTTAGATTTTACAACTTCCAGAAAAATTACGTGACTTTTTCGTATTTTTTCGGTGACAGACCCGAAAATTTACTGAACCTTTCAGATTTATTCTCTTATATTCCTATAGAAATTCACTGAAAACGATTCTCGCTTGCGGATTACGTGAAATGTTCCGTAATTTTTCTTGAATATTTCTCTCCGTGTACTTTAATAGTTCAACATCTGTCAATAGTTCACGTGGTCTCATTTTTGTAAGAAGAAATATGTATGCAAATTGAACTGTAATTGTCCAGAAATTCTTAAATTGAAAAAAGCCCTATATCTCCATTAGAAGAGTTGTACGATGACTTACGTTCATTGCAAAATTCACCCTGATATCCCGGCCTGCACTGGCATCTACCGTCGACACAATTTCCGTTGATGCATTGTGCCCTGCAGCTCCCAGAACCGCCAGGACGACTAGTTTGTGGCTCTCTATGAGCTTCATGGGCTAAAGGATTGAGAAAAAAAAAACGCCAGACGGAATTATTGAAAACTGTAAATCCCTTCGGGTCAGCATAAATTTATCTCCACACTGATTCATTTCCCTGGTGACGGTTATAACAGCCGCATATGGGCACCCGTACCCGCTGTTCCATGTCGCTATTTTTTATTTCAACCGTTTAGCTATTGCTTTCCGGGGGGAACGAATAGAACGGGATGATGAGTGGACCTAGGGATGCAAAATGACGGCAATTTTTGACATGCATCACGTCAGTCGTAAATGACTTGATGCATACCTCGTGATGCAAACTGATCGGTCAACTTACCCAATCGTTTGTAATTTTTTCTCGATGTCATTTATGCTGAAAAATTTTCTGTCCAGATGTAATCTCACGTATGAAAAGATTTAATAAAAAACGTTAGCGAAATCGCTAGAAAATTCTATTGAAATGCTCCAGAAATTCTATGGGGATTCTATTAAAATTTTATGGAATTCTCGTTAAAACTATTTGTTTTTTGCGCAGATTCTACCAGATATTTAATTGCAAAAAGTGAATATTTTTCGATTTTTCTGTTTGAATTTTTCTCTTGACATTTTTTCCATTAAAATTATTGGGCACGGATTTCTAAAGTTTTAGTCTTATAGAAAAAATTCCTATGAAAAAATAAAAATCTGTTGACTTTTTCCTGTCAAATATCGATTAAGAATTTTAATGAGAATTCCCTAGAATTTACTAGCGAATCGCTGAGTTTTTTAGTGATTTTTTTCGTACGTGCTGGCCGTCATTTTTGTGTTTGGTCATTTTTTTTTTCTTCATTAATTTTTTCAGAAATTTGAATAAAATTATAAATAACGTCGTAACAGAAATCGAAAATTTAGGGAATATTGCCTTAGTATGGAATTTTTATTATTTTCCGACAATTGTCATAGATTTTGGCATTACCTCGTGTTTGAGGAGTTTGGGTGGAGGACTGACAGGCCATTGCAATCGATCCTCCTTCGCAACGACATATGTTCGGTCGGATGCAGCGACCGTTGCCACAACCTCTTCCGCATATTGCTGCAAACGAAATTATTTCAAAGTCGTTTCGATTGATGTAGGTGTCGTTTGACCAAAAAAATGTCTATTGACATTTTCAGGTGTTTTCTGACATTTTTAAATCTCTCTGAACTCCGACATGCGCTTTCAGATTTTCAGTGTCTCTTGACAGTTGAAAATGTCTATTGTCATTCTCAAATGTCTTTTGACATATTTTACCTTCATGTCAAAAGACATTTTTTATTCGAAAGAAAAAAACACTAAAAAGTGAAAATGAAAAAGTCAAAAGAGATTTGTCGTTAGATTTTTGGTCCCAAAAAATGCCTTGACATTGTTATTATCATTTCAAAAAAACTTCTGTCGTTAACAAAATCTCAAAAAAGAGTGTCTATTGACATTTTCAAATGGTTCTTAACATTCTCAAATATCTATTAATAAATAATAAGTCAAATGAAGATGTCAAAAAATCTTCTGTCAATAACAAAATCTCGAACGAGAATGTCTATTGACATTGTCAAATAGTTCTTAACATTCTCAAATATCTCAAATATCTCTACATTAACATTTTTATCTTCATGTCAAAGACGTTTTTTTGTGAATGCAAAAAATCTACCAAAAAATGTCTGTTAATATTCTCAGACGTCTTTTGACATTTTTATCAACGTTAAAAAAACTTTTCTATGAATCACGAAATCAGTCAAAATATCTATTAACATTCTCAACTGTCACTGTAAATTGTCCATGGAATACTTCCACTTACGAACAAGACATAGATCAGTTTCCGGTTTCTTGGTCCACCCAGGACAGCAGTGACTCCTCCTGTCCCTCATCCGGCAGACGTTGGGTCTGAAAGCAATTCCATTATCATTCTAAAAACTCAACAATCCCGTCAAGTGCGTTTCGGCATTGTTGAAAGCAATCGCACTGTGAGATTGACCCAGAAAACCCGACTGAAATCATCCGATAATTCTTCAGCGTCTATTTACTAGACTGTCGTGCGTGTGATGANGGGGGGGGGGGGGGGGGGGGGGAGGGAAAAAAACGGCAAGCAAGCAATGTGCGCCACCTCAGTACAAGGGGGGGCATTCACATCGTTCACCATAATTAACGTCAGCTGCTAGGCCACTTTTAAGTACTTCCACTTACGTATCTTGGCGCCGTGGTTTATTGCTGACTTATAAAACGCGTTGCGGTTTTATATTTTTTTCATCTACTAGTTTCCGCGGAGAGTGAGTACGTATATTTTATATAGGTACGCATGGCCACGTTTCCAACAATCCCATGTCGTGTTCTGTGAGACTTTCTCACAGGATTTTCTGAAGGAATGTCTGTAGATTTGCCTCAAGAATTCGGACAAAAAATTTCAAATTTCACCGGTTTTTCGTTGCAAGGGTTAACTTGCCAACGCGGCCATCGCCCGAGGGCCTTCAGCCAGGGAATGTTGAATAATGTGGAGTGGATTTTTCAGTTGAAAATTCCGTGGAATATTCGGTTTGAAAATTGTGTTGAATTCTCAGTTGAATATTATGTGGAAAATTGCGATGAAAAATTGATGTGGAATTTTGCCCCGGCCGGGGCTCGAACCTGGGAGCTTGAGGTTGTGAATCTCATGCTGCTACCAAGTGCGCCACACAGCCGGGTTTCCAATTCGGACAATTTCTACAGGCAATTTTCAATTTGCATGAGTCAAAATAATGTATAAATAATAATTCATATTATTTGTACATTATTGTTACAACAGTATTGTACAGTACAGTACAGTATTGTTTTATTTTTAATAATGTGTAAATAAAATATTCTATAGCTGTTTGCATATAACACGACTCTATAGAACATTTTTATATCTTTGGTATAGAACTCCGTCATTTTACCGCATATTTCTACAGGATGTTCGGGCAGGGACATAGAGGAGGTTGGGGTAAAACGGACACTGTTGACTTTTTTTTAAATGTTAATGAGGGGTTGAAATGTTGATAAAATTTACTAATTTTTTTTTTCAACACGAAGAACAATTCTTTCTCTTCGTGACGCGCCTAAACTGAGCTCAATTAATAAATTTTTTTCGGAGTTATGAATAATTTTAAAAAAGTCTCAAGTGTCCATTTTACCCCACCCTTCCCTATACTTACGCTAGTTTGGAATGAATGAACAAATTGGTCATAAACGAGGGATTACCTTCAAAATGATGAGAATACAGAACCATGAATGAATAATGAATGAGAATGAGCTGAGATTGCTCTTGATCCATAATTTATGAATTTATGAACCAGCGTTTAATTCAAGCAGACAATAAAATTCCGTGAGATATTATTTAATTTTTCAAGTCAGAGCTGCAAATTTTAAATAAAATCATTGATGTTCGAGTACAAAAGTAGAAAAACATTTCACTGGAGAAACAAGTGGGAAATTGCTCTTGTCGATTTTTTCATAAATTGTCATCACCGAGCCGACATTGCACATTTCAAAACTGAGGCGAGACAAAAAATTTCTGTGTTCACTGAGACCGAGACAATCCCGCCAAATTATTGTCTCGTGAAATGTCTCGCGGCACACGGAGAGAAATATTCAATAAAAATGACGTATCTTTTCCGTAATTCCAGAGCGAAATGTGGTTGGAGGAAATTTTACGGAACTGTCACGGAATTTTTCCGGAGCGTTCCGTAATTTTAATCTGAATCTCCTGTAAAAAATTACGATCTTCTGAACATTTCTCTCCGTGCATCACTACGCAGTCTTGATTCCCCCCATTAAATTCCCTTGAGACGGATTTTGATGGAATTGTTCCATCAGTCACAATGCAACGATCCAAAATAGAGCATATCTAATACAAGACAATGACTTTGCTGATGTGATAAACGCCATGCAACTCAACCATGTAGGGTAATCAAGGGTAATGCGGATCCTAATGGTTGATATTAAAAAGCCCACGGGTGTGATGGCGAGATGTGACTGGGCAATTCAGTGGCAAACAATGGCCTTTAACATTCCGCCCCGTCTCCTCAGCCGCTCGAGATGGCGCTTAAAACGTAATCAAATGTAATTATTGCGTAATAGGAACGGTTAAACCATCGGACAAACCCCGACGAATCATGATTGATTCTCGTCGTTCAGCATTCCCAAGATAATATCCACCCTCTCACCTACGTTTTACTGCCAATTAATTATTCCCTAATGTCATTTTGTCATTCATAACGCATGTGGATTTAATGGACATCGGACATTTATGGGATAAAGTATTTTATAAAATCAAGTTTTCGGTCCTTTTTTTTCTTTTCAGAGTTTCAAGGGGAAATACGGAATTTCATATGATTATGGGTGACTGTCTCTTCTACTTTATCTTTTGAGAATTCGATGGCTTTAATTGATCGGACACTCAACGAACTGGGCTATCGTGACATTTAATTACGGGCACTTAACGATTAGGGAGTAAACGCGTTCTCACAGTCCTCGGTTACTAGCGTCTTGGAAGACTTGTCGACCGGAGACCTCGATTGGATTTTTTTCCGGCGGAATTGATTATCCGGGGGTTAAACAATGTTTCAGGTTTAATTGGAGATTGCGGGGGTTTTGCTTGTTGTGTTGTATGTCCCAATTTATCAGCTGTTAAATTTTCATATTACAATAAATAATTACAATGAATGATGAAAACCGCTTTCTTTCGGAATATTCGCCATGTTCGAAAGAAAGGAAGAATTTTTTTATAAGCGATCAATCGAATTTCATTAATTTTTTCATGAATGTAGACTTTAATAAGCTCTATTCTTTGCCACCAAATTTTCACACATGAGTTCTCATTTTCATTTGTCAACTTCAATCCTTCCCGAACGTTCATTCATTAATGAAAAATTAACTTGTTTTCTATCCTTTTTTGAAACATTTTATTCACGGGGCTTACGGCACGTGAATTGACTCATCACAGGGGGAAAAATTGGATCATTATGGGATTATCATGATCGAGTGTTGCAGGTAGTAATTTTGACACCCCCCTCAAATAACACCCCACGCGCCTCAATATTCGATAGAAAACAAGAAAAAGACGTTTAAGTGACCGTGAATATAATAATCGGCGCTCTTGTATTTCGCATTATCGCGAGGAGAAAGTGCTGTATATTTTGATCATCTCTCGTGTGGCAAATTCGATAGGAGTTGCTGTCGCTCGCTCTATTCAGTAATTTCATTGCTTCGCGCACGACAAGTTTAAGGGGATACGTCGGTGAAATTTAAAGGTCTTCACTTCATTACTTCATGCGTGTTATCTGTAAGTTTTACTTTTCGAAGCGGAGATGCTCAATCGAGGAAGACATACGGCACGTGCGTTCGATCATTGTACAATTCACTTTAATGCAGTTGTTCCATTCGAATTGATTTGCTCCAATAGGAAAATATTAGTTTGATACAAATAGACATCTATCCAACTGCACGCCGAGGCGTGGATAATAGTAGGTCTCCATTGCTCTTCCGCTATTGCCCACGACTTCGTCATTTGACCTAATTCAATAATAATTAGCGTGAATAATTATCTAATTGGGTTTTCCTATCGGATATCAAAGTCATGTTTGCTCTTTATTGTAGCAATGATTGTGCCATACGCATAATTTTTTCACAGATAACATTTTTATTGGTTATTTCAATAGAAAATGGACTAGGGAAATGGGTTTTTCATATGTTATAAGATTGGAGTCACTGTTACAATTTTTTTGAAATTGTTTTATTAATTCTAGAAACTTGGAGGAACGATTCACTGAGAGAAAAAATTGGCTCTGCCGAAATCTATACGTTCCACGTGAGAATATTTGATGGAGTGGAACAGATTTACTTGAGGGAAATTAACCAACTTGATAGAAGGAAATTTAATATCTTTCACAAAAATTGAATTTTTGTCGTGATCATCAGAAATATCTCTAGAAGAATTCTAAGTGTTGGCAGGAAAAAATATAATCTATTGTGCGACAATCATTTGATCTGAGAGAACTCCATAGGTTTATACCACAGAAAGAATACATCGACGAGGAAAGAATATTTTTTTCCCAAAAAAATTGTCCCCTCGAAGTTATTTAGTTTTGGCAAAAACACAGTTATCGGCAAGAAAATTGTAGTTTCCTCGTGAAATTATCATTTGTTCCATGGAAATTATAAGTGTTTACTGAACAAAGATATGCACTACTTAATAATATTCACTTGATAAAACCGGAGTCTCATATAATTCTCTGTAGTCTCACGAGAGCAATTACTACTACGAAAATTATCATGTTTTGGTGGAAACTTCCTTTTTTGTCCACAAGTGATGTGATTTAACACGACAAAAGATCTCTTTCGAGAAACATAATTTTTCGGCAGAACTAATTTTTTCTGAGTGTTCCACCTACTATTTCATCACGAGCAACTAATCACAGTAATATCTCCATTTGATTCCCATGAAATAGTCTTCACCCCAATGTTATTCCATTTACATCGAGAGATAATTTTATCACCCGAACTTAAATCCCCAAATGATCCCCATTGTCCGTTAAACCCCCACTAATCCCGAGGATCATCAACTCATCGAGGAATTTTCCTCTCCAGGTCTCCTCTCAGATTGTGATCTCGAGGAGATCACAATGCCCGCCTTGAAAAAGTGCATCGGACATTACGAGCCCTTTGATTCGATTCAACTTGTGGCTTTGATCAGTAAATAGAAGACAATTGCTGCTGAATGAGAGAATCCGTCGTGTAAACGTGCGGCTATATTGAATTGTTATGGATATGCGCGCCCCGTGGTGACAAAATGACAGGGCATATTGGATGAAAGGTGGAATCTTCATGGGGTACCCCTCTTCGGGATGTCGGTGTCAGCTATTCATCAAAATTTCACGGCACCTGCACCCTTGACGGCTTCTTTTAGAACACAAGATCTACGCGCGCGCTCTCGCGCGCGCTGATCTATTCATTTGTTGAAATGAAGAAATGAAACTCATTGAATTTCATTTCTCATGAATACCTTATAAATATTGATAATGAATCAAAGAGAATTCGACTAATGATTGAAGTGAATAGCGAAGTAGAGTAAAAGAATCTATAAAGAATTTTTCATTTTCAATTAATTATCTTCAATTTTTTAAAATAATCGGTCTCCATAAAGGACAGAATTTATTAATTTCACCGATGATATATATACATGTGAAATATATATATTATATATATATGACGTGAAAAAAAAATTTACCACTGAAGAATTTGAAATTATCTCGCTGAAGAATTTGAAAATGCCGCGTGTTTTTTTTTGTGAATAACTTCGTGTCACATATTGACCAATCAGAATTAAGGATTAGCGGTCAGGCAGTTTCGAGATATTTCGATATAAAACAACTTGACGTTTCGTTCATCTTTATGATTTTTATGATGATTGTTGAAAATTTCGAATTTTTCATGAATTTCCCTGAAAGTGAGCTTTCTGATGGTTTCTTCAAATGTGATGTTTGAAATTCATTCAAGCATGTGTAAATAAAATTTTTCTATTAACATTTTATCGAAGGGCTGAGGGGAGAGATAGAATTAAATAAGAATGATGATGGTGATAACATTCAACTAAGTTGAAAATCTGACAAAATCAGTTGAACAGAAACCTTATTCAATTTAATAAAATGACGTAAACAATGAATTATACATGATAGAAGGCAATAATGTGCAAAATAACCATTCAAAATTTTCAAATGTGTCATATAAACCATAAATTAAAGAAAAACACTGAGACATTCTTAGTTTCAAGTGTTTGAGGGTCACAACGTGCGATTCATTGCGCAAACTAATCGCACACATTAAAAATGTCAAGTGCCACCCGCTCATGCATTCCATCAGCAAAAATTGACCACATCTCCGTCCATTCACATAATTCACTCATAGTTACGTGCAATCCTGAGATAAGAGAGTCTCCGCTCTCGAGGTTTTAGATAAAATAATTCTCTATGACACGATTACACCAGAGTGGAATCATAAAAAGAACATATTAAAAATTCAATCCCCACAATTTTATTCAATTCCCTCCCTGATAAAGTTATTGCTTCATTTCGCGGTGAATAAAAAATGCCGGATTTTTTGTTCCGCGTGTATTTTTAACCACTGGAATTTAGCCGGGTGCGTGCTGCGTGAATTTTTATCCGCTTGAGTTTACATTGATGTAAATAAAGAAGAAACCCAGTGGTGATGGAGAATGTGAGAGTTAATTGGGCGTGAATGTGTGCACATACGCAAGATGTTTTAGAAACAAGATCACTCGTTTTCTTTATCAACGGTCTTCAGTCATTCGTATTTTATTTTATTTCATTTTGCTTTCATCGAGGAAGACTGGGCAATTTTCCAGGACTACTCGCCATAACCGGGAGGAAAAATTGCCATACCCACGGCTGTCCCGATTATTATAAGTGGATACTTATTCATGGGCAAATAATGATAATTATAAGGGACAAGCCACCATCTGGGGAATACATGGATTGACGACAGGTTTTTCATATGTCATATCGGGAATTGGAGCCACTGGTACAAATTTTTTGAAATTTCCGTGATAATGCGGTTTAATTCAATTTAAAATTAAACAGAATATTTTTATTATTAATTTTAGACGGAAATGCATAATCAATCACTCAGAGTTTGATTGGTCGAGTAGGAAATTGAATTGGGCACAGGAACTTTGGAGGAATTTTAAAGATGTTCGTCATTAACAAGTCGATAATTGAATTTTTTATGAATGAGTATAGTTATTGTTGCTAATAAATTCGCTTCCGAATGGATGGTTTTTTGCAGTGAGAATCGAATCTGACAGGGAAAAGGACATACACTGAGAGAAAAAATTATTCCTGCCAAGGATTGATATTCTCGTCAGAAGATAATATTTTTTCAGAACGAATTTTTCCAGGACAGTCATTTTCAGAGAGTCCAAGTCTATCCTCAAAAATTACAGTGATATTGAACAATCTGATTATTATGCTACATATGACCTTGACAAAATGTTCTCCGATATCTTCCGGATTTTACAAATTGGCGATTTTCTCAGGTAAAGAAAATTGGAATAATTCCAAATGTTAATAATTATTATTGGAGTTTCTTCGAGGTCATATGCAGAAGAATATTCTTATAGATCACCATAATTCTCACGATTGGAAATGATTTTGGAGCACCTGGAAATGACTGGCCTGGAGAAATACGTTCCAAAAGAGATATTTTCTTCTACTAAGAGTATGAAAAAGATATCACTAATAACATTTTCTTGGGAGGAATAAATTTTTTTCTCAGTGTAGTGAATGGGCATCACAAAAAATTCATGAACTTGAGTTGATCCCTTACATAAGAAACGCGATGAAGTCCCCATTCAACACCATCAGCTTTCAAATTTCCCTCATTCCATCCCGGAAACAATACCACGATCTAAAAGTGGATACGTTTCAACTGGCACGTGGCTATACAATCGATTGTTAGTAAACCATCAAAACGCTGTACGAATTACCAGGAGGAAGTTCATGATACATTGCACAGATGATATATCTCAGTGACAGAGAGAGAGAAAGAGAAGAGAGAAGAAAGAAAATAAAAGAGACGACTAGTGTTTGGCGCGAAGAGGTGCGCCACCGTCTGAATTATTATTGGTATCGGATAATAACGCGAATTCAACGCTCCGATCTACGATACGATTGTCACATTCAACATCCTGCCCAGATAACCCGATTTTTTTCCATCGAATCGACGCGCCTCCCCCCCGAAAATATAATAAATTCGCTTAATTTCCTCGGGTGAATGAAAATTAATTGTATTTACCCAATAGGTGCGACCGTCTGGTTGTTGTCAATGCCTCTAGGTGTAGCTGGACGAGTCGGCCGATGATACTGCCGATCGCGCAACGAATCCTGATGAGTCGATGAGACAAGTAAAAAGAGACAAATTGTGAGTCTCATATTTTGATTTTTTATTCAACGATTACTTGATATCTATCATCGAGCAATCGATCGCCGATTCGCCACTCTGTTGCGAGACCTCAGCATCGGAATGTGTGCGTTCTATGTGCAAAATGCATTTGATTATTAGGCGAAAATCGGATTTTGGCGCGCACTGAGGAACAAATTAGTTCTGCCGAAAAATTATGCTCGCCGGAGGAGATCTTTTGTCGGGCTGAATCAATTTACTTGTGGACAAAAAGAAGGTTTTCACCGAGACATGATAATTTTCGGTGTAGTAACTGTGCTCGTGAGACATTTATGTCTTTTGGGTAAATACATTCGTTCTACAGAGAATTATATGAGGCTCCGGTTTTATCAAGTGAATGTTATTGAGTAGTGCATATCTTTGTCCATAAACACTTATAATGTCCATGGAATAAATGATAATTTCGAGAGGAAACTACAATTCGCTTGATGATAACTGTGTTATTGGCAAAACTAAATAATTTCGAGGGGACAATTTTTTTTGGGAAAACAATATTCTTTCCTCGTCGATGTATTCTTTCTATGGTATAAACCTGTGGAGTCCTCTCAGATCAAATGATTGTCGTACTATAGATCATTTTTTTTTTGCCGACAGTTGGAATTCAGTAGCGAAGCGGTAAACCGGGTTAAGTCGACTTTGACTATTCGCCAGTTTTTGACGAATATCTCGGAACCTAAAAGAGATAGAAAATTTTTTGTCATAACCTTTTTTGTAGGGCTACTTAAGGATTTTAAAAAAGGTTATAATAAAAATTTTGCTATCTCTCCCAGATTCCGAGATATTGATCAATAATTGTCCAAAAATAAAAATCGACTTGACCCGGTTTACCGTTTTGCTACTGAATTCTTCTAGGGATATTTCTGATGATCGCGACAAAAATTTAATCTTTGTGAAAGACATTAAATTTCCTTCTATCAAGTTGGGTAATTTCCCTCAAGTAAATCTGTTCCACTCCATCAAATGTTCTCACGGGGAACGTATAGTTTTTTGGCACAGCTAATTTTTTTGCTCAGTGCGAGGAAAAAATAATCGAGAGATCTTTATCGCACTCTCTAAGAGGTTTTAGGAGATTTTTATTGGAAATTCTATTTGTTTTTGGTCAAATTTACATTTTTTTGTATAAAAAGAAAATTCTCAGGGATAAATTTCGCCCGCTGAATTTTTTATTTTTTAATATGAAATGCAAGAGAAAACATTTTAAAAGTCGCGGCGGAATTGTTGTCGAAAAATTTTCAAAAAAATTAGACAAATAGACAAATCAACATCCATTTTTTTTTTGTCAAATGACTGTTCAAAATCGATGCCAAAAAACTGAAAATCATGCAATTTGTCTTGTGATCCCCGAACAACTATTTAATTTCAAGTAGAACATCAATAGATTTTTATTTTTCTATAGGAATTCTCAATCATAAATTCATCAAGTTTTTCCCGCCGTTTTTTTCTATTTCTCACGACAGAATCCAAGTGAAAAATCATTAAAAAATCACGCCCGAGAATTCTCATAGAAAAAATCCTAATATCTATTGACTATTTTATATCGATTTATAAAATTAAAAATTCTATTCATTTGTTGTTTACATTTTCATAGAAAATCATACAATTTTTATAAATGAGAGTTATTATGTAAAAAAGGTTTCAATAATTATCCATTATATTCGATTCATATTTCTTTTTGATTCCTATTACTTTTTTTTCTCAATTTCACTAAAATTTGTTTAGGGACAGTCGCCCGATATCTCAACAAATATTTGATTTTGAACAATCAATTTGTATTTCTCTATAAAAAAATCTCAAGCATAAATTTCCTCATGTTCCACTCTATTTTTTCTGTTCCTCATTAAGGATATCCAAGTTCTTTTATAGTTCCCTACAGACCGCACTACAAATTCAAACATTTTCAATCATGAAATTTGTCGATTAAATTACGTGAGAAAATTTTTTTAAAAACAAAAGATATTCAGGATCATTAAAATTGCATTTTGCACAGAATTATTATTTTTTTAAACACTCGTTTCTTACAGATACATAATTGAAATTGTTTAAGCTGTCGAACAAATAAATTATTTATAGAAAGGCCTCGTAATTTTCAGAAACTGAAATTTTTTAATTATTATTATTACAAAAGTAAACTTTCCAATTTGTTTTCACATTGAACAAATGTTTTCTAACGGCTCAATATTAACATTCAAATTTAGACCTGCAAAGTTTAAATAATAAAATCACTGTAAAATCTCGGAAACTTGGGGTCAAATGGGGCTCGAATGAAAGCTCTGATATTCGACTACAAAACTAGGAAAACATTTCACTGTAGAAAAACTATCCAAAGTACTTGGACATCCTTAAGAACCCCAGAAATAAAAAAAATATAAAATGCACAATAATTCTCATCCAAAAACTCTCCAAATAATGAATTCCCTAAAAATTTCAAACCCTATCAACCCAAATCTCTCCGACATCTATAAAAAAACAGCACTTGCATGATGAAAAAATCAAAGAGAATTCCCAAAAAAAAATCCTCTCCAAAAACTTTCTAAATTCCTCTATGAAATTTCTTCACACACGACGAAGAAATGAATTAATTTCAACTGCATGAAATAAAGCGCTGATAACCCGCTATCCATGTCATGTCAGCGGATCCGGAAGTGTTCCAGAATAATATTCCAAAAGATACATAAAGCCCATGCACTATCTCAAGAACAAACACTGGCATCAATAAAAAATTCTTTATCATTTAGCAAATAAGTCCACTCGGTAAATTCCCTTAACCCATGTAGCCGACTAAAAAGTGAACAAAGACAAGAGTTAAAAAATTTACACCGAGAGTTGAGATAATGGAACGGCTTCTAATTTAAACCAGTGCGATAACACCCTAGGGTGAAGATTATCGTCAGATCAAGGAGATGTAACAATTTCAGTTGCAAGTCTTATATCATCACCCACATTTTTCTCTCGATACTTTATTAATCCAGATGACTATGAGGGAACAATCACTTTTCACAGAGTAATTATCACACGTCACGGGGGCACATGACATCGATGAAAGTAATAAATAAGTGCACATGAAATAAAAAAATACTGATTGATCAGTCCCTTTTCATTGATACACCGTGGAATTGTGGCTTTTGGAGCGATTGAGGGGATCCCCGAAAAGATGCGCCGGCGGAACTCGACGTGAGACTGCCGCGGACGTAGTGGAGCTCAAGTGTGTACCGGGGCTTGTCGCTTTTTCGTCGTCCCATCTCTGTTCACTTCAGTTCTCACTTCACTACAGCCTCCTCTTCCTGTATCTGCCTCTTTTGACGGGTCTCTCACTCATTCATTCGGAGATGACAGTCAGGCTGTCTCGCTCGGGTGAATCTACTTGACTCTAAACTCCTGTCAACACTCTATTCAGCGGTTGACATGCACGAAAAAATTTTGTAGAAAAACTTGGTGAATTCGAACATTGAAAATTCCATTGGATTTTTGCTGAACTTCTATTGACAATTTTATTAGTTTGAAATATTTGTTACTTTTTAATTTTCTATAGAAAATGTCCAATAGAAACTATTTCGTGGAAAAAATAAGAATTTGTTACTTTTTTTCCTAATTTTTCTGTTGAGACAAAATTGAATTATATTGATTATTTCTAGAGGCTGTCTTCCATTGAACATTTCTATTGATAAGTTCGGTTGTAATTCTATTGAGGATTGCACAACTGTATTGTGTAATTTTTTCGAGAGACATCTCATTGAAAAAAGTCAAGACTTTGATTTTTCTAGAGAAATTCTTGGGCATAATTTTTCCAAGTTTCCAGAGGATTTCAATTCCATTGGATTTCAATGTTCGAGAATTGATCAAAATTTTTTTTGTCATTTTAATCAATAACAGTACTACAACATGGAAAAACGAAAAGGAGTAGTAAAGTGAAAATTTCAAAAGCCAAGAAGCCATTCGGAAACATATTGCTAATTTGTCAGCAACAATAACTATAGTCATTCCCAAAAAAATGCAATTATCCGCTTTTTTTGTTCTACAATCAATCCTTTCTACATAAAATGTAAAACCAGGCTGCAGGCCCCTGGGGGGATGGCTAGTCACGAACTTCTTGTGTCGAATTCCGTTCGAAATGAATGAATAATTGTTAGTGACCGTCATTTCGAGAGAGCAGTAGTTTTTGAAAGTCATATTATATGAACAAAAAAATTGACAAAAATCCATGCCCATTCTATAAGAATTCCATTGGAGTTCCGTTAGAAATCTATTGAAGAATATGCAACTTTCATTCTTGGCCATGAATTTTCCAATTTTTTTTCGCTATATTTCAATTTATTTCTCACAATAAAATTCAAGAGTGAAAACTCGGAATATTTATTTCCAAGAACTCTCACAGGATTTCTTATGAAAAGAGGAATGATCCCTCTTTTGAGAAATTCCCATAAATTCTCATTGGAGTTCTATTAGAATTTCATCGGAATTCTATTTGTTTTTCTTCTGATTTCTTTTGAAAATTATGCCTAAGAAATCTTAATTAATTTATTGATCAATTTATTACTGATTCACTTAGCTAATTATTTGAAATTTTTTATGCCTCTATTTTTATGATAACACCAATGACATTCTCATTAAAATAACAAAATAATAAATCGAGCGGTAAACAAGTGGGCAATTGCACTTGTATTCCTCGAGCGAATCAGATATTTGTAATTTCCACTTTTTTCTTTTTTGCATTCTGAACCTCAATTAAAAACGCTCTTTGAAAAAGTTCAAAATTTTTTCTATTTTTTTTTCATCATTCTATCATAATTTTTGGGAATTTCTACATGATGTACCACTCAATTGACAATTTTGGATTACGAAAGATAAAAAATGTCCAGGTAATATTCGAAAGATAGTACACCTGGGCCTTAACCCAATCATTTTTTAAAGATCTTTATTTTTATAATAATAATAATTATACTAATGCTCGTGTCGTCAGTGTATATTGAGCCATAATATTCATCGATGGTGCTACTGCCAGCTATGTCTTCCCCATCAAGTTCATTTTATAGCAATTACATAGACGATAAATAGAACTCAAACGTGTGTATCAAGTTACAAAAATAATTTTCACATCACGTCATCGGCGCGAGTGAATCTCACAAAATGCGGAGAGAATTCATCGGTTCCGCTCGGTCTAACGGATTGAGATGAAAATAAATTGAATGAGCTTAATTGATCGGTGGTATTTAGACTATTTTTGAAATTATCGGATTACGTAATGCGACGGGTTGAAGATACGACAAGTCCATCCTGGAGATGGAAAAATCATGCGGGTTTTTGTGCGTGACGAATGTCATATCATAGATATAATTAATGAGGCCGCGGGGGAGGGGGAAATGAGTTGAATAGGCAAGAAAACAATGCAGTGGGGGCTATCTTTCGTTCGACTCATCTCATTTTTTTTCATAAACGTTTTATCTAGTTTGTGATAAGGACCATTGTTTCAATTATTGTACATCATACATGCAACAATTAATTTTCTTGATTTTACTAATTAATTTATTAAGTCGAGAAATTAATTTAAAAAAATTTTAACGTTATTTGTTTAAAAAATCGGAAACTTTGGATTTCTTTAAATTTAAATAATTAATCAAGTCTTTTATTTATTAATTGATTAATAGTCAATCAATTAATAAATTAATAAAAGAATTGCTCGGGGGAAAGGGCATCCAAACAAATTTTTTAAGCCATCATTCAATGACTTCAGAACATTTTTTTTAGTTATCTTGGGACAACCGTTTTTTGAAAAAATGCAAAAATTAGAAAAATTATTCAATGAATTTAATTTTCATTAATGATGGATAGCACTCTGTAATATCTACACTTGAGAAAAAGAAATTATTTTATTCTATCGATTTTCAAACTTTTTAGATCATAATAGGTCAATAAAACTTTCCATTCGGAACCAAAAGTAGTCGTTTTTTTAAATTATTTATTAGTATTGCAATGAAAAATACATTTTTCTTTATTATTCATTACCGAAAATTATAATAATTCGATTTTTTAAATTAATTTTCCTAATCAATCAGATATTCTAATGAAATATTAATAATGGAAATTATTTTCCTGCCGATCTCTGCCTTAAAATGAATTGAACTTTCATAGAAAAAAATGATTCCATTTCATAAAAAATTCAGTGAATCGGTGAGAGGTCGAAAAAAAACAAATGAAAATCTTGCTGATAAAGTAGGCTCACAATGAAAAATCTGAGTTTTTTAGATTTTTCGAGATCCAATCGTCGAATTTTTTCAGAATCTCGGGGGTCATTTCAGTTTTCCACTGGTTCACTTGTCCTCGTCGTATGAATTCTGCGTTTCCTACGGCGTTGAGGTACTTCTTCGTGAACTCAAACATGCTTTGGTGATTGACCGCTTTATTATTCTTCATTTTTCCGAAACTCAAGTGGTCCATCACTAGGCTTAATTCTTCTGAGCATAGTTTGGGCTTGTTTAGGAATGTCAATACTCTGTCGATCGCCGATGCCAAATCCTTGATAGAAAAAAACTTGAAGTTAGAAATAGTGACAATTTTTTTCATTGAAGTCGCTAAGTAGACAAAAAATGCTAGAAAATTCTAGAATATTCTCGTAAGCTCTCACATCAGTCGAAAAGTTTTTATAAATTTTTAGGGAGTTTCATAGAAAAAAATGACGATATGAGTAATTTAGTATTATTTACTCAATAGAAAATTTATACTCTGATTTTTTAAAATATTTAATTCATTATCAATTGGAAATTTATATCATCAATTACTTTACTATTTTTTAATTTCGGTTACTATATTTAAATCTTGATCAATGTAAGTCGAAAATTCTTTTAATATTGAAGAATCGGAAGACTGATGGCCATCCCTGTACAGCTCTGGATCTTTCTACAATTTTCTAGAGCTTCCAATAATTTTCATGGAGAATGAATAATCCTGTTTTTCCAACTACTTTAAAAATGTCTACAAGATTCTGGATCGGTCTAGATCGCTCTATAATTTTCTAGAACATTCCATGATTGCTCAGAGCAACGGACATCTCAAATTTACATAAATTGCCTGAAACATGCGTAAAATTTCCTATTTGCAAGTTAATTTTTACCTAATTCCACGGTAAAATTACGGTAAAAAAATTGTTGTGAAAATTCACTCGTAGAAGACTGCTGTATCAACCTTCCATGAATTTCCGGAGAAATGGACATCTCAAAATATATAGATATAGAGTAAGATTGTCGTAAGTGCAGGAGATGATTACTCACCGATTTCATTTCTTCATACTTGATAAATAATATGTTGTACGAGGGATCATTTCGTTTGTTCCAATAACCGAATATGTGATTCCAGTATGGCGCGTAAGGAACTACAATTATGAAAAAATGCAATGAAGACAGGATTTAATGAAATTTATCAGTGAAATTCACCGCTGTTCTTGACGATTAGAAAAATCTAACGAATTTGTCATACAATTCTATCGGATTTCTATTGTAGTTTCTATTGGTTTGTGGCTGATTCTATTGAGATATTTTCTATACAATTTCCTCGGCTCAAATTTTCCAAGTTTCTGTCATTCTTTTTTTTTTCATCAAGAAAATCAAGCAAATAAACTTAGAAAATTTGAGCCGGCCAAATTCTATAGAAAATATTCATGCGAAAAAAATTTTTTTGTAAAATTTTCTTTTATTGACTTTTTTAATTATTGGGAGTACTGATGAGAATAATATTTTTTTATTAGTCTTCTAATTCAATTGATTATAATTCAATTGATTAGATTAGGGCGATTGCACTCTTCTTTTTTCATTCAATTGAAATTCAGCATCACATTTCCCTTTTTCCCCCCCGGGCCTTCCTCCGGACTTTGGATTTTGCTGTTTCATTTTGTTTTCAATTAATCCATTGACAAAATCTTCTCCCTTCAAAACTTCTCAATAATTTTTCATTCCACGGAATCGAACATTATTATTCTCATTAGTACTCTTAAGAATAAAAAAACGTTAATAATCAAAAGTTGAACAAAAAATATTTTTTTTGCTTAAATTGCGTCAAACAGTCATTTTTTAATTGCTTCATTTTGCCCCACTCTCCCCTATCTCAATAGAATAAGCTGCACACAAAAAATGAATATTTTCTATTGAACATTTCAATAAAATCGGCCAAAAATTAATAGAAAGCTTAATAGAAATCCAATAGAAAGAATTGTCTACCGAATTCGAAAAATTTCCTGTCAAATTTTCTCATACGTGCGTAAATTCTCCATCAATTACCTCTGTCATTCCGAAAAAGCGTGGCGAACTCCTTGAAATTTCCCCGGAATGCGAAGTGTTTGGCATGATGATAGAAAGATATGCACACATCCTTTGGATTCCTGTAGACATACACAATCTTCGTCTTGGTACGTCCCTCTCGGAGGTCGCGAGGTAGAAGGTGAAATGGAAGATGACATTTTATGTATCTTGGGCGTGGTAGGTCCTCCACGTATTTCACACTATCCTGCACAAATCCATGATTCGCTACTTCCGGGAACTTCTCGACTATTGCTGTATTATTAAAACGACCCGATGCTCTAGAAAAAAAAATATTCTATTGAAAATATTGATGATAACAATAGGGGTCTATTGAGATATTTTCTACAGAAATTCCTGGACAGGAATTTTTCATGTTTTTTTTCACGTTTTTTTCAATTCAAAATTTTTTTTTTTTAATTGAAGCCGATAATTTTTTTTTAACAAAATATTTTTTATTAAATATTTTTTTCTTCAAAATATGTGGGAAATTGCTTTCGTCATAACATATTCAATATATAATATTTTTGGCAATGAAATAAGAATTTGCTTCCGAATGAAATTTCTATGACAATGTATTTTAAATTGAATTCAGTGACTAATGATTCTTGAACATCTGCTCAACGTCGGTAGCCAACAGTGCCCCAACGTTGGTAGCCAACATTGCCCCGACATTGGCAACCAACCTTGGCCTAACGTTGGGAAGCAGCATTGTCCCAGTGTTGAGGAGCAACATTGCCCCAACGTTGGCAGGCAATATTGCCTCGACGTTGGTAGCCAACATTGCCCCAATGTTGGCAGCTAATATTGCCCTAACATTGAAATTTTAAACATTTATGTTTTCAGTTATGGTAAAAAAACTATCAATCAGATCTAGACATAGTCAAAAACCCCCATATTCGAATTCCTGAAGCCAAAATTAATTATCCTGACACATAAAACTGGAAATTTCAGATTTGAAGAATACGATGACTCCATTCAAAAGCAAAAAGCGTAGAAAAACGCCGGAATTTTTCGATGTAATTCGTAATGTTTTGAAAATTACTTACTCGAGGAATGGAAAACGAATTGTCAAATCTTCTTCCGCTCCTTTGATATCGAGATCGTGACCGAGTAGCCAGACCATTTCTTGCGTCCATGTAGTTCCTGAATGATTGTCAGATTCAAAGATAAAATAGTGATAGTGATCTATTTCGCTCGGAAACCATTCTATCAAAATTGTCATCCGGAGTTATCCGTTATGCAGACCAAAATGTGACATCATATTCAGCATATTCAAATAATTATATTGTTATATTGTACCTGTATCAATTGAAGGCCCGAGTTGTAGACCCGAGTTTGTAGCGAAGATATCAGACAAGATATGAATGTTTTTTTGAGCTCAAACGAAAGAGCGGGTCGAGAAATGGCGTGCTAGGACCTCTAAAGATGGTGTTGAACCAGGGGAGACTCCTAGAACCCACTGGAAAATGTTGTCACAATTGCGCTTTTCAATTGAAAACAGACATCATCTTTAGAGAGATTTGTCATCTTTAAAGACTTCTGCACGCCATTTCTCGACCCGCTCTTTCATTTGAGCTCAAAAAAACATTCATATCTTGTCTGACATCGCTGCTACAAACTCGGGCCTACAACTCGGGCCTTCAATTGAAGGCCCGAGTTGTAGACCCGAGTTTGTAGCAAAGATATCAGACAAGATATGAATGTTTTTTTGAGCTCAAACGAAAGAGCGGGTCGAGAAATGGCGTGCTAGGACCTCTAAAGATGGTGTTGAACCAGGGGAGACTCCTAGAACCCACTGGAAAATGTTGTCACAATTGCGCTTTTCAATTGAAAACAGACATCATCTTTAGAGAGATTTGTCATCTTTAAAGACTTCTGCACGCCATTTCTCGACCCGCTCTTTCATTTGAGCTCAAAAAAACATTCATATCTTGTCTGACATCGCTGCTACAAACTCGGGCCTACAACTCGGGCCTTCAATTGAAGGCCCGAGTTGTAGACCCGAGTTTGTAGCAAAGATATCAGACAAGATATGAATGTTTTTTTGAGCTCAAACGAAAGAGCGGGTCGAGAAATGGCGTGCTAGGACCTCTAAAGATGGTGTTGAACCAGGGGAGACTCCTAGAACCCACTGGAAAATGTTGTCACAATTGCGCTTTTCAATTGAAAACAGACATCATCTTTAGAGAGATTTGTCATCTTTAAAGACTTCTGCACGCCATTTCTCGACCCGCTCTTTCATTTGAGCCCAAAAAAACATTCATATCTTGTCTGACATCGCTGCTACAAACTCGGGTCTACAACTCGGGCCTTCAATTGAATACCTTTATTGCATCATTTGTGCACCCAAAAATTTATCGATTTGAATTTAATATATTGAATCAATCGAAAAATATCGCGTATATAAAATAGTTTCAGGAACTACCTGATTTTGGAAAACTGCAAACCCATACGTCGTCATCCCAGATCTTTAAATTTTCGATAGAATCCGCAATATCTAGGTAAACGTTAGGTATTGTCATTCCTTTTATTTTTACATATCCAGTGCGAAATTCAGTCGTGAAAGTTCTCTTCAGAAGTTGATCCAAATCATTGTCGCATTCCTTTTGTGACATTCCTTGATCGGCGGGGTGACACTGTCGATTGAAATTGATGGATAAATAATAAACAGTGAATAAATTGCCCTGGAGTCTCCAAAAGTTATGATTGTAGAATAAAAAAAACGTTGAAAAAAAAGCTGAACATTTTCAAAGAGCGTTTTTGAATAATATTGGAAAATAAACCCAATAATTTGATACCAATAGGGAGGAAATTGCAAATTAATAATTTGATGGAACTAATGGCTGTTAGGTCGTCATTTCTCACAGTAGTCAATGGCTGTCAGATCGTTAGTTATCATGATAAATTACCCGAGTGGAAATTCTGTTCAGGTCTCGATCAGAAACTGATCAAGTCCGATCCGAAATTCTGATCAGGCATGTTACGCCTCCACCTTATGTTTTTCCACTAGGCTATCCACTCACTATTTCCTCTCTATCGGACTTATTTCTTAAGCTTTATTAAAAACGCTTTTTAAAAATGTTCATTTTTTTCTAATTTTTTTGATTGTACAATAATCATTTTTAGGGACTCCTGCGTGATGTAAAATCCAATGGAAATTGTGACATATTTTACATTATGAAGATGGAAAAACAATCGAGATAACGTTCCAAAGATAATCCACCCGGGCCTTAGTAGAAAATTTGTAGTTTCATATTTTTGAATATTTAATTCATCATCAATTGGAAATTTGGATTATCAATTATTTTATTATTTTCAAATTTTGATTAGTATATTTAAGGCCTGGGTGGATTATCTTTCGAACGTGATCTTGATTGTTTTTATTATTCTGATAATCTGAAATGATCTACAATTGCTATTCAGTTTTACACAGCCCTGAAGTCTCCAAAAATTATGATTGCAAAATCAAAAAAACGTTGAAAAAACTGAACATTTTCAAAGAGCGTTTTTTAATAATATTGGGAAATAAACCATTTATCAAATGAATCATTTCTTAAAAAATATTCAATCTTTTGTCTGTTTTGTTGAATCAATGAAACGCTTTTATTAGGGAAAAATTGATGAAGGTGTAATGCAGTAGCCGGATGTCAGATTTTTTGAAAATTTAAAGAATGAAATTCTGATAAATTTCTTTTTCGAGTAGATCAGCTTACTAATCCTTTTTGGGACCGTCCGAGAAAGAAAATATTCAACCGGATGAAGAAATAATTTCACGGTGATTAAATTCCTCTTCGACGTGAGCATGTGCATAAGCCTGTATAATCCTGCCTCGTGTGTGGAGAGGACGAGAGTGATTGCCGGTAGCCTGTTGAGATCTTCATGGGCTTCGGGACAGTTACGACAGCATTATCTCAGCGTATGATTAAACCTCTTGCGGGTTACGAGGGAAATTTTCAGCGAATTTGCATATTACATAAGTGATAAATTTGTTTTTCGTCAAATTTGGCCTACAGCTTTTTTTTCCTCTACAGAATTCAAAAATTTGAAAACACCTGGGTAAGAAGAAAAAAGAGTGGGAAATAGCTTTCGTCGCAAAATAGTCAATATATTGTTTCCGAATGGAAGCTTTGTAATCGTTCCAATTTAAGCGTCCAATTCTTCAATCGAATTTCATGATTCTTTGTGAATATAGACTTCAATAAGCTCTATCCATTGACACCAATTAAAATTCAATTTTCCATACGGATTCGAAAAAATTGACATTTTTCCAAAAATCGATTTTTCAACGATCACTCAAAAAATTGTCATCAAAATGGAATTAGTCATGGCTCAAAAATTGATAACAATTCCCTCTTGATTTTATCAGAATATGGTGGGGGTCGCACAATTCGTTGTTGAGTTACAGCACATTGTTTATGCGATTTGAAGGAGAAAATGGGTTTTATCATGATTACATTCTTACATTCATGATGCATTCTTCTTTGTTGTTTTTCTCTCATATCAGTGTAGAATTTTTAGGGAGCTCGTAAATAATCGGCTCGTAAACAAAACTATTTGGTGTGATAAAACCTTGAAGAAAAAGATAATCATGCGCTATCATTTAGTCGAAAATCATAGTTGAAAATATGTTGAAAATAATGTAGTTTCCGCTAAGAATGTGTTTACACAATTTTCGCCCGAATAATCCTGAAAAAACGTTGATCACTCTATATCAGATCCTCATTTCTTCGGGGCAAAACGGCTTAGCTATGATTTTTTCAAACAGAAAAGGCAACAAGCAGAACAATAATGAGGGTCAAAGAAAAATTCTCAAAGTAGATGTTTTGTAAGTGATCGTTTCAATCGACGCTTTTTTGGAAATTTTGGAAATTTTTTTTTTTGAAATATTCTTGCAGAAAGGACCAGCGTCACGATCGCGGATTGTTCTATACTATAGGGGATTACATTTGGAATATGGAATATATTCGTGAAAAAATATTTATTTTCAACGGCATTCATCAGCATTCATAATCGTCAACGACATTCATAATTAATTCGAGTATAAATTTCCCAAAAATTTCATGACAAAATTGAATCTTTCTCAAAGCATAGCTTCAAAAATCCACTTCTAAAAAATTCAGTGTAACGATTTTTGAAGTCTCCATTCCGCTTATCAAGTAATGTAATATGCTGTCTATGTATATTTTTTATGTACTGTAACCTTTTGTTTACAGTAATTGTAAAAATACAGAAATTCATTTCTTACTGTAATGAAAAAATATGTACACAATAGTATATATTATATAATATACAATACACCCTATATACTATACATATATGTTTCATACTGCAATCTTTTTAACAATAACAAAAATGTAATACAGTTCTGTACTGTAAAAAAAAAAAAATATATATATAGGATAGTATATATGTATATAGTACATAATACATCCCTAAAAATGAAAAAGCAAAAGAGAAATGAAGAAGAAGGAGAAGATTGTGACGATTCCGAATAAATTATTCAACAATGAAATTCTCATTGTGAAGAAATTCGTTCAAATCATTCATTTTTTGTACATTATTATTAAGATAAAAATTAATGACAGCGAGAAACGGTAAGGTTTTACTAATCCGGCGCCGGTGGAAAACAATACGCGCGCGCCCCGTTCTAGTTAATTTAAATTAAATTAAAATTATATTAAATTATCAAAATTTGAATAATTGGTCAAAAAAAGTTATATAAAACCATTTTACTCTCTTCAAATGCATAATAGTCCCCAAGACAACTTCGTAAATAGCTCACCTCGCTCAATGGAATGACTGAAACCCCAACTAGTACGCAGACAACCACCGGAGCGATGGAAAATTTCCCCATATTTCTCACGTTTTGATTCCGTGCTTCGTTCTATAATTCTAATGAGAAAACCAATAGGTGAAGACTGATGAACTGAATAGGTGAACTGATGACTGATGACTACCCACCTAGCACCTCCCCTAATATATGTACCTGGACAATTATCCACTTAAAGTAGTATGGTCACTCTCCAAAATGACCGTTGAGTGTCCGTGAAGAAAATAAAAAAAAATTAATCAAAAAACTATGATTTATAATTGAAAATTCTCTTTGTGAATTATAAAATTTATGAATATAAGAATTAATCGATTATTTTTATTATTTTTCACGTATTAGTCAAATAATGTACCTCCTTTGACTAGCGTCGTTTTATGCGTGGCAACGCTGTAAATTAACAGCGTAGGGAAAACGAGATTTGAAATTCCCGCTTGTCCCCACTCCACCAACGCGTCGTTGCCGCGTATACTCGACACGCAATTTCTGAACACCGAGGAGCAGAAATTATTTATAACTAAAGTTCCAAACGGTCAATAATTTTTATCGATAGCCGTAAATTTTTGTTTCCCCATTTTTTGGTATTTTTAGAAACGAAGTAGCTTCGCTACATTTTTATTCGAAAAGTCGTGATTATGCGTAGCTAGAGATCGAAAAAAAAAATCACTGAAAATATTCTTCTAGGCAGTAAAAATGAAAAATTTTGACGCTTAATAAATCAAAATCGGATGGATAGAACTCGAGTTATTGCAAAAAAAAACCGGAAAAACGAAACAAAAAATCATATCTCCGAACTGGGCTGCCGAAAAAATCTGAAAAAATTTGAGATATAGTTTTTCAACCTCCCGAATCGTAGAAAAAATCACCATCAATTTCCAAGAGGGTGAGAGTCAGCGGTTGACTCATTTGGCGTGGAATACCTCATATTGATTAAACTCTGGCTAAATCCTGAATCAACCCTGATTAAATCCCGGCTATACACTGATTAAACCTTGATTGAACCTTGATTACACCCGGACTGAAGACGAATCCGAGTCTTGAGAGGGTCTGAATGTAGAATTATTCGACAGAACGAAATCATACGCCAAATTTCGATGACATTCGGAAGCAAAAATGGAAATATTCCATTTTTCATGCGTTAAACTGCAAATTAATGATCAGGAAATTGCCGAAAATTTATTTATTGACCTAAGGTCTATAATTCACAGCCAGAGAAATTATTTTGTCGGCACTCTCAACGAGGAAATCATCGCCATCTCCAGATGCTGCATCAGGTGTCTAGATTTCTCCTCGAATTTCAATAATTTCCTTCTTTGTATTTTCTTCTTCAGTGGCTCCTGAGATATTGTCCGCATGTCTGGTGCTTCTTGAAACAATGATAAATTGAGAGGGGGTAGTCTTCGGTGATCCCGAGGGGGACTCAACGTTCGGACCTCTTCATCAATGGCTAAATTGGACTGATATTCTCCTTCACCCTCGTACAATTCGAAATCGTAAGGTTGAATGCAATTTTCCGCGCGGAATTGTTCCTGAAGATTTTTTCCGCGCTCTGATCTACCCGGGTCTTGGGATTTCCACAACATTTTCGTTTGCAGGATTTCATGTTCTCTAGTAGTATCTTCGCGAAACTGAAATAATCATGTTGAGGGTGTGAATGGGGGAATCTCGACCTATTGGTGAACATTATGAATTTTGGTTCCAGAGGAAGGCGCCACTCGCACTTGGAATATCTCGATAACCATTGAGAAATTCTCGAGACGTGCCCTGTGATGTTTCCACACCAGTAATAAATTTTTTTAATGAATGCACGCATGAAAAAATTCAATAGATAACCTAACGAATTCACTAGAAAATTCTATTGGAATTCTATAGGAATTCCATGGGAATTTTATAGAATTTCTATTGAAAAATTCTATTTGTTTTGTGCGTTGATTCTATTGAATATTCAATAGAAAAAGTCAATAGATTTCAAATTTCTGTTTGAATTTTTCTCTTAAATTTTTTCTATTAAAATTATTGAGCACAAATTTTCCAAGTTTTTTCCGCTGAATTTTGTTTTGTTTTGCATTGCAGAATCCAAGTGGAGAAAACTTGGAAAATTGATGCCCAAGCATTCTTACAGAAAAAATCTCAAAAAAAAATTCAAACAGAAATTCGAAATCTATTGACGTTTTCTTATCGAATATCCAATAGAATCCGCGCAAAAAACGAATAGAATTTTTCAATAGAACTCCAATGGAAATCCTATAGAAACCCCAGAGAATTCCTATAGAATTTTCTAGAGAATTCGTTGGGTTTTCTAATCAACGAAAAATCGCAATTTTGCGGAAAACGATTGCCTCATTCAGCTCCCCATAATTTCATAATCAATTGTTTTATATTTTCATTAACATAAATTATCACACCTCGACAGTGATCTCTGGATCGCACAAAATTTGAAGGCTCCAACAAGGACCTTCCAATAAACAATCAATAATTTTTTTTAAAGTCCTCTTTTCCCTCACAAAACTTCGCGCAGGCGAACTCGAAGGTCTCTCCATCAAAATCTTCTGCTCAAGATCCCTCTTCGCCTTCTCAACGCACCTCCACTCGTCCTCCGTTAGTGGCCAAGAGTCTCCTAAGACGAAGGCGTGAATGAAATACTCTAACTCGCAATCCGTCAGATTCACCACCGGTAGAAGTACAACAGAGCCTCCAGAAACTTCCTGCAGTCTCTCTGAAGTCTCGCTCAAAACTCTCAATTTAATTCTCGTCTTGGGGTAGCTAGCTTGTAGTCTCATAGACACAGTGCAACTGTTGGAGACCTTGAGAATAGCCTTAGCGACGTAATTATTGGAGTTCGGAATGTAGATATTTGATAATTCGTAAATTACGGGATTTGCTTCTTCGGTTATCGGGGGTAGAGGGTTGTTCGACGAGTGAAATTGGGGAGATCCTTTTATGGTAGTTATGTGGAGAGTCCACTCGACTTCAGTCATTCTAATGAAGCAGGGAAACACCATTATTTAAACGTAAATTAAATTTTTGTTACATCACACGCGAAAAAGTTCCATTAAAATTGCATTCATTTTCGACAATTTTTAATAAAAAAACTGCGGGATGTTCTATAGAAAATGTTTGATAGAAACTATTTCATCGAAAAAGTCAGTAGATTTTCATCTTTCTGTACGACTTTTTCTGTTCAGACATTTTTCATAGAAATTCGACATGAATTTTCCAAGTTTTCATGAGTACAACAAGTAATATCATCTTGCGTCGAATTTTCATGAAGCTCGCCCGACAAACTAAAGAGAATTGAATACCATTCTATGAAACATGAATAAACGAATCATAATTCTCCGAATCATTTAGGTCGGAGGAAAATAGAATAATTCTACTTTCTTAATTTTGCGTTTACTAAAGTTTTCTTCGAACAAAGTTGATTAGAATGAATAGGTAGAATTATGAGATTATCTCACATTTTTGACGTTAAGGATAGGAGAATCTGAATGCAATATAGTGAAAATGATCGATTTGTTCGTTTTGAATAAATAATATTAATATCCAAACACAAAATTTCTGATATGAATGAAAAGAAGCTGTGACTCAATATTCCAAATGAAATTTCAATTTTTAATTTGGTTCTGAAAACACGAGATGACAATATTCGAAGCCCGGAATTATATTGATGAGATGAACAACAGATTAATTGAATTGCCGTGTGAACTAATTAAAAATTGATAACAGTGTGGGCACGCACTTTTACCAGAGTATCAGCAAGCATTGAATTCCAGAAATTCACACTCTAAAGGGTGTTCTAGAAGGAATTGAACTGTAATTATGATTAATAGTATTTTTCCGGCCTGTTGCGATGGGGTTTTTAACTCGTGTGGCGTTGGCCTCCGAGCCGTAGGCGAGGACTGGCCAACCACACGAGTAAAAAAACCCCATCGCAACAGCCCAGGAACAATATTTTTCTGTAGTGATTTTCAAGTTTTCGAGTTTGGGAAGTATGTAATACCAATTCCCAGACGAGAAATCGTGAGAAGCAGTACAGAAAAATCTTATTCAGTGAGCGTAGAAATTAAAAAATGGGCGAATCATTTACTGTAATATGAAAATTTAACAGCTGATAAACTGGGACATATGATTCTCATCGATCGTATTGCTTTTTGCAATAAGAATGATTATAAATAGTTAATTGAAGAAAGGAATTTCGAATCTAACAGGAGAAAGGCGCCAGTTCAAATAAAATTCCCATATAGAACTCCAAGAGAATTTTTCAGAGAAATCTACATTTCCTCACTAAATTATTCCACAATCTGTAATTTTTCGCTCGAACCAACATAATTGTAGAAATAATAAATCCATCCGCAAAATTTCCACATAACAAACCCCAAAATTACCTTTCCTGATCACTCCTTCCATATCCCAGTACGGTGAACCCTCCCCAATTCCTCCCATAATGGAACGGGATGACATTATTGACCGCCCGCTGAATTTCTCTCTTCGTATCATTATCAAAGCACCGCAGACTATAACCAGGCAGATCAACAAACAAATCCATCACGGCAAACACTACTTCCTCCCCACGCACCATCAAATTCCGTCGAACCATTGGAATCCACTCGGGGGAAGAGACCAAAGTCCTCCCCCTCATCTTCTGAATCCGAAGAACATGCTCGAAATCAGAGCTACGAACGTATGAAAAAATTTACTAGAATAACCTGGCGCTTCCTCCGAAACATTCTATTGAATTTCTATTGGAACTCCATAGGAATTCTATTAGAGTTTTGTAAGGATTTTTGGGCAGGAATTTTTCATTTTTTTCTTGTTATTATGAACAGAAAACTTAAAACCTGCGTGAACAATGCAGTAAATTTATGCTTGAGAATTTCTATAGACAAATCGAAATCTATTGATTTTTTTCTACAAAATATCCGTCAACGAGATGTCATGGTAAAGTTATATAATCTTCAATAGAATTGACACAAAAAACAAATGGATTTTTTTAATGGAATTCTAATGGAACTCGAATATAATTCTTACAGACTTCCAATAGGAATTGAATAGACTTTCAATATGCTTCGTGATGTTTAAAGAAAAGGAATTCTATTGAATTTCTATTGGAGCTCTATAAGAATTCTATTGGAGTTCTATAAAAAAAATTGGGCGTGAATTTTTTCTTCTTTTTTTTTATTATGAGAAAAAAAATTTAACAATAGCGTGAAAAATGGAGAAAATTTATGCCCAAGAATTTTCATAGACATTTAAAAGGTATTGATTTTTTCAATAAAGTATCTCTTAACGAAATGTTACCGAAAAGTTGTATAATCTCCAATCGAATTAACGCAAAAAATAAATAGAATTTTGAATACAATTCTAATAGAACTCAAATATAATTCTCATCGAGTTCCAACAGAACTCAAAAGAATTTCTTAAGAAAGGAGCTTTTTTTTCGAATCCTCAGTCTTCACGAAAAATTCTATTTGTTTTTTTTCGTCAATTCTGTTGAAAATTATAGTTAATTTCCCTACGTTTTTAAATATCAGACGTTTTTTTCTTATAAAAATAGTCTGTAAATATTGATTTTTCTCTGTAATTCATTCTATTGCGATTTTTCTTCAACAATTCTTGCGCAAGATTTTTCTGTCTTTACCTTCGTTTGTATTACAAGAAAAAACCAAAAATATAGCACAAAAAACCTGGAAAATTTATGTCGAAGAATTTTCTACAGAAAAATCAAAATCTTCTAAATTTTTTCTTTAAATCATCTCGTAACAAAACGTCACGATAAAATTCTACTACGCCAAAAAACAAATATATTTTTTAAATAGAATTCTAATATAACTCCAACATAACTCTACCAGACTCCCAATAGAAATTCAATAGAACTCATTTCGTAAACCGCAATCTGTTGCATCAAATTTTTCGTACTTGCAGTCATAGAACCCCATAAAATCCTGCATCCCCCTGATGAAGCTCCTCACGAGATCGCCCACGGTCTCTTCATCAAAGACCTCCAGTACCTCCTGAAGAGTCTCGCTCAGCCCCTCGTGCCCCCGTCGCCCCATGCGAATCCCAAAAAACTTCTTCACCCTCAGCATTCGAAAAAACCCCTGAATCTTCGCGGCTGCCTCCCCCCCAATTTCCCCAGCTGAACCCCCCGACTCTCCCCGGTCCGCTGACTGATCACCAAGCCCCGATGTTCGTCTCTCCACCCCATCGCCCATCATAAAAAATATTCTCAACGCCCGTCTCGCCCGAAGACGCAACTCCCCCCGGCATTTCCCCTCAATCACCCCAAGAGCTTCAGCCCTGAACGCCTCATGAATCCTCAACCGACATCCCTTCGACAATTTCACGTCATCACCACTTCCCCTGGGCATGTAGCTCTCGCAGAAATTCCTCCAGTCCATCAGATGACTCGGCGACCCCCAGGAGTGGAAAGCAGTCGCCAACTTGCGTCGCACGTCATCAACGAGAGCTTTGGTTCTCTCAGACTCAGCAGTCATGAGGTCCTGGACCTCTCGCCTCCCCCCGATGCGAAAAATCGTGTCTGATGATACTGTCAGGTAGTAGTACCCCCTCGACTGACAGAAGACCTTCAGCAGGTGCCTCCCAGGACTCAGGCAAATCGCCCTCGAGGCGCAGCCCTTCGTCTGGACGCTCAATAGATTTTTGTTCCCTGAATTCCGCCGGAACCAGCAGCACTTTTCGATTATCAGGGAGCTCCGGTGCTCTCCGCACACGCAGAAATTGAATAGAAATAATTTTTGCTCGGTGGAGTCGACGAGGAGGTACAGGGGTTCGTTCCGGGATGGCTTGAGGGGGTGAAAATGATGGGGAAAATTTTCGGTGGAAATTTTTTGGTCACTCGGTTTTCTAGTCTTGTTCGGTTTTTCCTCGATTTTTGTTCCGGTTTTGGGGTCTGGATGGGGGTGCGGCATGTTGGAGACGGTCTCCGAGCACCTGAAATACTCCCGTTTGAAGAGAAAGTGACAGTGCATGGGGTGCCCGGTGAATTCGTTGAAGTCGAGCCAGTGGGGCTCGGGTTTAGGTGCCTCAGGGGGGAGTATGAGGATGCGTCTTGTGGGGGAGAAGTGGTCTTTGGGGTCTATAATCCCCTGACGTACTGCCCAGGAGACCCAGCGCGGAAGCTTCCAGGCTTCGATTGGAGGTTTAATCTTCGGGGGATGTGGAGAGAGAGGAGAGAGAGAGAGATGTATTAGAGGAAGTGGCCCTCGGGTGCGGATCGGCGGAATTAAGAGTATTATGAGAATGGATATTTGGAGGATACTGGGGAACGCGGGCTTATTTATTGTCGGAGGCTCATGTGGTGAGGAATTTAATAGCAATACCGAGCGCTTTGATACGCAAAATGATGACAGTTCGACTGATGATAGTACTATGACACGAAAAACTAGAAGAAGAGAATAGTGAAGTAAGAATTAGAGAAGAGAACCCATTCCGAAGCCAATTGCTAATTTATTAGCAACAATAACTATACTCATTTATAAAAAATACAATTGTTTTCATATACAGCACCAAGTTTTTTGTTGAATTCCTTCACGCGTATTGTTTTAGAAAATTATAAAGTGCTCACCCCAACGTATCCAAAAAAAATTGCCATCGCGGAGGGAGAATATCAATTTATTTGTACCTGCGTGGGGTCCGCCGGGCGATCAGAAGTAGATTCGAGGTATATTGGGTAACCAGAGGGGATTTCAGGCACTTCATCATGATCTTTTCGGATGGCTCCGTTGTCGTGGAGATATAAAAGTGTCAAAATAGGAAAATCCTCTTTAGTTTCAGAGCCTGTACTCTCCATTTTTTCATCTTCCTTGGTAGCGGTCTCACTGGGTCCTCTCTTTTTACTAGTTCTTCTGATCTTTCTCTTGTCTGTGGGAATTTTGGACACAGTATTCTTCGTCGGTGTCTCGACGGTCGAAACGGTGGGTGATTGTGAGCCATTGTGATTTCCGGAGTATTTGATTAGTAGTTCCCAACGGTCTCTTGGGGATAAGTGAGTTATATTCTGAGACAGCCAGGTCCACCCTATATATTTCACAGATTATATCGTCGGATAACATAAATCTCTAGACATGTTCTGTCCCCAGAGAAATGGTTTATTTGGGTAAAATAAACTTCATTTGAATCAATTATATTAATTGGTGTAAATAGCTTGTAATGAGGCTTTTCTTCAAACATAAACCTAATTTTTGCAATATGTGATTGAATGAAGAATGAAAATTGATGTCATTACCATTACACGCACTGATAGAATGATTAATTTATTCCAAACGAGATTCGTTAACTATTAACGAATGGTAGAGTTGAATATGACCAAATGAATATTCGTTAATAGTTAACGAATGATTCACTTGAATGGCGAAAGTCAACTCAAACGAGGCTCCTTAAATATACATTCGTTAACTATTAACGAATGAACCGCCAACCAAAATCCATTCGTTAACAATAACTAATCCGTTCTATCAATGCGGAGAGAAATTGAAAAAAAAAAATTCTAGTGCTCGCATGGGAAAAGAGGCGCAAAGTGACGGCCAGGAAAAAATTCCAGCGCCAGCACTAGAAATTTTATTGGGGAAAACGTGAATTTTTCCTCGTATTTCTGTGAAAATTTTCCAGAAATCCCCAGAAATTTTACCAGAATTACCAACAAATTTTACCTTAACAGCAAGAGAATTTTTCACAGCCGGTGGATTGTGATGTTTTTCCAGTACTCGTATTAGAATTTTTCTAGAAAATTTCTCTCCGTGTACTCAATAACAAGGTGATAAAAAATACATTTTGTTCCTTAGTGATTAAAAAGATAATTAAAATGTCATTGTTGTTACTAAGCATTAATATGACATTAAAAAATCATCCGTACACCATTATAGATTACAGAAGTAATAGAAATTTGATATTTGTCATTGACCACTGATGTGGAAAAATATTATTGATATTATTCCATTCATTTTATATCAATCTTTGAAATATCAAGAAATATTAAGAGAATTTTTCCTTAAAATAATTGAATTCATTCTTTTATCATTTGAATTTAGAAAATAATAAAATAATTGAGAATTTAAATTTTCGAATAACTATTAGATAAATATAATTGGAAATTTCCTAAAAATATTAGAGCACGGAGAGAAATATTCAATAAAAATTACCAGAAAAAAGACGTAAAAATTGCATTTCGAAACGTAATCTGGGAGCGAAGTAAAATTCAATAAAAAGTTTCAATCGTCACGTAAATTCTACGATCTGTTCCGTAAAAATTACTCATCCGTCCGACACCTGACGGTTAGCCATGAGTCACCGTGAGGGGGAGATTTTACCAACACGTTCCGTAATTTTTCCGGAACTTTTCGTAAAAATTCTTAAACATCTAAGAATTTTCATGTTCTGAGGCATAATAAGTCTTGAAGTTTCTGTTAGATTTTACAACTTCCAGAAAAATTACGTGAAAAAGTCACTTAGTGTGACAGACTCGAAAATTTACTGAACGTTTCAGATTTATTCTCTTATATTCCTATAGAAATTCACTGAAAACGATTCTGGCTTGCGGATTACGTGAAATGTTCCGTAATTTTTCTTGAATATTTCTCTCCATTAGATTATCGAATAATCGTCAATCTTCCGAATTCGATTATTGATTGGTAAAATAATTCGAAATTTGTATATTTAATTGTTGATTAATTTAATAATTGAAAATTGTTAAGTTCTGTTACTTGACTGAGTATTTATGAAATTAATGACAATTGTAATTTATGATTCTGCCTATCTCTTGTACACTTTTAGGTGCATTAAATTTTATCATTGGACCTTATGTTTCTGGGGTCCCTGAACACGTATGTGTTAACCGTTTTTGCGACCAAGATCACTTGGATTTCATATCACATTGGATGGCAACGGGGGCTACTTTTCCTGGTCAAGTCGAACTTGATACCCCAGAATTGTACTGCGAGAGTACCTTGAAAAAAACAAAAGTGTCAAATGTTTGTGGTAAATATAGAAAAGATAAGCGGGTATTATACCCGCTGGGCGTCACGAGTACCGCTTCTCCCACTAGCCTTCAAACAAAACTATATAAATGACGGCTGATCGAAATGTCGCAGTAAGTGAGACTTCAGAGTATCTTCAAAGATGGGAAAATTCCTACTCATCTCGGTTCTCATATTTGTATCAGCATGTTCAACCACGGCAACAGATCCGGGGAATCCCTACGGTTCCTGCGCGACCACGGCCAACAAAAACTACTTTGTGTGCAAAATGGCCGCAAATTTGACCGTTCTGGCTGGATTCACTGAGAAATTCATTTACACAAATGATATCTACCAATTAATTGATGTGGTTGTTTACCCCGCTGATATGTACACCACTACACCGCCCATAGAGAGACTCCCCATCTGGCGATTGCAAAAATCCACTATACTGAGCTCTGTATCTGTGAAGCACATAGAATTACACAGAGATTTTGATTTTCCAAGAAACGTGAACATCGGCGATATTATCCTAAGCAACAATAACTTAACGGCATTCCCTACAAACATTACCAACCGAGATGACCTACATTACATAGTGATACAATATCAAAAAATCAGGGCTTTATCTCCCAATTCGTTCACCGCAATAATGGCCAACCTGAAGAAACTCAGTTTGGAAAATATTCAGCTGGAGGAAATCGAGCCAAACACTTTCACGCAATTGAGTCACCTGACCCATCTGCACTTGTCGGAAAATCACTTGAATGTTCTACATTCTGACATGTTTACTGGTCTTAATCATCTGCAAGTTCTTTACTTGTTTAACAATCAAATCCGTGCAATAGAGCCTGGGACTTTCGACACTATGTCAGACACACTGGAGTATCTCAATTTAAACCGTAATCAGCTGAAAGTAATTGAGCCAAAGACTTTCACGCCATTGAGCAGACTGGTGACTCTGGACTTGTCCGCAAATTCCTTGGAGATTCTAGCTCCTGATATGTTTCCTGGTTATTTGAGCGGTTTGGATTTGAGGTTTAACGAAATCCATACGATAAAACCTGGAACTTTCGCCAATATTACGGATAAACTGCAGTATCTCGCCTTAGATGGTAATCAGCTGACAACCATCGAGCCAAATATTTTCACGCAATTCGGGAACCTGGACAAGCTGATTTTGAGGCATAATAGGTTGAACACTCTAACTCCTGACATGTTTGGTGGACAAGTGCAGCATCTTATATTGAACAGTAACCAAATCAACACGATAAAACCTGGAACATTCGCCAATGTCTCGGCTAAACTGAAGCAAATCAGTTTACAAGATAATCAACTGGAAGACCTCGAGCCAAATACTTTCATGGAATTGAGCGGCCTGAGATCCCTGGACATGATGAACAATTACTTGAAGGTTTTATCTTCTCATATTTTTGCCGGTCTTGATAATTTGAACACCCTTTACTTGGACTATAACCAAATCCATACGATAGAACCCGAAGCTTTCGCCGATATAAAAAATAGCCTGAAGTGGCTCCATTTAAAGCATAATGAGCTGGAAGTCATCAAGCCAAATACCTTCACGCAACTCCCCAAACTGGAGTACCTGATAATGTCGGAAAATCGCTTAAAAGTTCTAGCTCCTGGTATGTTTGCTGGTCCTTTGATGAATTTATGGTTGGACGCTAACCAAATCCATGCGATAAAACCTGGAACTTTTGACAAGATCAACAGTAAATACATGTTTTTAAACGGTAATCAACTGAGCGTTATCGAGCCAAACACTTTCAAACAATTGAGCGGCATACGCTCCCTGAACCTGCGTAAAAATTACTTCAAAACTTTATCTCCTGATATGTTTGCTGGTCTTGATAATTTGAAATCTCTTTTCTTGGGGAATAACCAAATTCATACGATAGAAAATGGAACTTTCACGCAATTCAGCGGCCTGGACACTCTGGACTTGACGGAAAATAACTTGACGGTTCTACATCTTGACATGTTTGCTGGTCTTGATCGTTTGAAAGATCTTCGCTTGGAAGATAACCCAATCGATACGATAAACTTTGGAAGTTTCGGCAGTTTTTCTCTTCTTCAAAAAGCCTTTCCTGCTGCGGACTGGCTGAATGGCCTTTCGAGACTTCCTACGGAACTTAATAAACGCAGGGTTACTTATGTGATGGGTAATGGAATCATAATAACGTAATTTAAACGCGAAGAATTTTCTTTTGTATTGAACGGTCTTTAGGCGGAAATTCCTGCACAGGGATTCCATTAAATATCAGAAGTGTGTTAATTAAAAAATGTAGTTTTAAAATAAATTCTTTTGAAACACTTTATTTTATTTTTTAAACTTATTGAGTATGAAGAGTTTGGCCGAGAGATAATGAATAAACAACCGCACGAAATTGTAGACTTGCTCTTTATCACACCATGGGCTTATTCTCTGGATGAGTGTTAAGGATATCCAAGTAGTTCAAGCAATTTTTTCTGGGGGAAATCCCCTTCAGAGTTTATAGACTAGACCAAGGGTATTTTTTAGGTGCAGTATAAACTTTAGTTTGCGAACATATGTTGGAGAAAACGATTTTTGAAAAAATGAAATTTAACACATTGCGTCCATAAGAGCTGTATACTCCCACCTTCAATCCAATAGTTCATAGTCTTAAAGCGTTTTCTCGTACACATAACCGTATATGACTTTGTTCGTTATACTCTCTAGTTTTTTTTGCGACATTAAAAAACATAAGTTTCCGGACAGATAATTGCAAACAATAAAATTAAAAGCTTCTTGATTGGTACGACGGCCATATTGGGTGGTTTGAATCCGCGCGTTTCTGACGTCTGGCAACGGTCCGCTCAAGTGACTACTCGGACCGAATTTACGAGGTTATATGGAACATATGTGCAGTGTTGCCGTATGATCATTAGAGTTTAGACCAACGAAAGTCAAGTGTGGNCGTCTGGCAACGGTCCGCTCAAGTGACTACTCGGACCGAATTTACGAGGTTATATGGAACATATGTGCAGTGTTGCCGTATGATCATTAGAGTTTAGACCAACGAGAGTCAAGTGTGGAATTGAATAAAATATTGTTCACAATATTCATTGAAGAAATTCCCGAAAAAATGTATTCAACAATGAAAAATCCAAAAAAGTATGGGGATGGCCAGATTTTCGATAAAACTGAAATCTTGCTTGAAAAAAAGTTCCTAACTTGAACGAAGTACTTGGATATAATTAAGAATAATTGGACGAGGAGGAAATGTAGGAGGTGGCGCGGAGGGGTTTCTATTGTTTTCCTGCAGAAAACCAATCGCTAAACAAAAAAAAATTTTCCATTCGGATTCGAAACTCAGGCAATATTAGGGAGTATCTCCGGTTAAAAATTATTTTTGGAGCTAATCAAATTTATTTGTATCTGTTCCACACATTAAATGGTTTTCAGATTGTTTTTTTTTAATAAATGAAAAAATATTAATCCATGCGAAAAAGTGGCAACATTATCGGTAGTTTTTTTTCACCAGGAGCTGGTACCACTGGCTCGAGGGAGCTCCAATCACAACGCTTCATCGCTCTCTCTCAAGAGACGTTTCAATTGGCTGCGTGCGCAGAAATTTCATTTTTCAGTACTTTTTTCGCTATTATTAATAAACAATACTCCTAGGCGACAATCTTTTTCCCTCAAAAAATCATTAATCACATGTTCTAAATGTGTCTAAAATTTCATGACTTTGGCTGCTTTTTTTCCTTGGGTTTTGCAGTTTTTTTTTGTGATTTCCAAAAGATTACGTGTTAAATGACCACTTTTTCAAAAATTCATAATAAATTAACCATGTTCCCCAGCAGTCTGAAACTTTGCCACGCCTTTTCCATCATTTAAAGAATACGTAAAAAAATAAAAGAGAAAAATGGCTGCTTTTTTTCTAACCCTCCGGGCTCGCCCGATTATCCTTAATCGATTATCATTTTATGGATTAATTTATAATGCACATTAACTCCAGTTATGGAAATGAGAACAGAAAATCTGACCTGTGAAGGATAAAAATGAATTAAAATCAGCAATTTCACGATCATTGATTGCGCTGAGGGAAGCGATCTGCCAGACTGCTTTCGCCAGAATCATGGGCCATAATTCATTCGTATTCTGCGTACGCGGAAGCAGTGGCATGCCGTCGTAGCCCTGGGGGATGGTATCATCCACGGGGAAACATCTCCAGAATCCCATGAAGAAGAGTTTTACCATGTATTTACCTATTAGACGACAGTATAATCATTACACGTATGATAGAATTTGACAGACAAGCCTGGCGAATTCGCTAGACAATTCTATTCAAACATTTCAATAGAATCGGGGGAAAACTAATAGAAAGTTTAACAGAAATCAAATTGAATTGTGAAATTGATGTTGTTCAGGTACCGTCGGGGTTTAGTTGAGGATTATGTTCAGATTCCTTCAGAGATTTGTTTGGGGAGTAAATGTGATGCCATCCCTGCCACCTTTTGCCTCCCACCTCATGACAGTAATTCAATATTTTCAATGTTGAGCAAAACCACTTGATGAACTGTTGAAAAACATTCGAAATACTCATAAAAATTAATGAATTATTTCCCAATTCTTCGACTTCCGGCATTAACTGGAGTTTTGTATGCAATTTTTTGACGAAAAAAAATCAATAGATGTCCATTTTTCGATACAACTTATTCTGATAGATTTGTTCCCTTGAGAATCTTTAAATTTTTTTTTTTCGATATTTGTTATAGGAAGTAAAAAAATACTGTATTATTTTTTGAGAAATTAAATTTTTATTATACAGCGTTTTGTCTCGAGAACTGAATAAAATTTTTACATAAATTCTATTTTATAATGTGATATCTGGCACCTTTTACCTCCCACTCAAAACAATAATTCAATATTTTCAATGTCAAAAGACTCATAAAAACTCATGAATTATTCACAATTCACGTCAAGTAATTCGCGTTTTACATCAAATCTTTTCACATAAAAAAGACAATGGATGTCAACTTTTCGATACAACTTATTCTGTTAGAGATTTTCCCTCGAGCATCTTTGAATTTGCCATTTTTTTTCGATTTTTGTAATGAAAGATGAAGAAAATACTGTGTAATTCTTCTAGAAATATCGAGATTTTTTTCATTTTGTCCAGTCAGATTAAGGACTATATGGGTCAGATTAAGGCCCAAGGGTCAGAATAAGGGTCACAGGGTTAGATTAAGAGTCGCAAGGGTCAGATTAAGGGCCATTAAGTTCAGAATAAGAGTCAAGAGGACCTAATTAAGGGTCACAAGCGTCAGATTAAGGATCACAAGGGTCAGATCAAGGACCATATGGGTCAGATTAAGGCTCCCGAGGATCAGAATAAGCGTCGCAGGGTTAGATTAAGGGTCAGGGTAAGGGCCATTAAGGTCAGAATAAGGATCTAGAGGACCTAATTAAGGGTCACAAGGGTCAGAATAAGGATTACGAGTATATATATATATGGATCCGAACATCCCCTAGTATTTCTTAATAGAGTTTCTATCCAAATTTGACAAAATTCCGTAAAAAAAACATTTTTTTATTAATTTTTTTATTACATAGAGTTTTTTTCCTCGAGAACCCGATAAGAATTCTATATGAATTCCATTCTACGATGTTATCGCTGGCACTGTTTACCTCCCACCCCAAGACAGTGATTCAGTATTTCCAATGATGAAAAAACCACTCGAGGAATTATTGAAAAACGTTCAAAATACTTGAAAAGTTCATTAATTCATTCACAATTCATCAACTTCCGCCAATTAATTCAAGTTTTATGTGAAATTCTTTTACCATCGCAAATGAAAATAGAATGAAAAATAAAGAAAAGTAGAATAAAAAACATCAGGACTATCCGTTATTCTTAAACTCTCATTAATTCATTCAATAAAATCGGTATTCAATATTTTTTATTCTGATCTTAAATGTGATTATTTTTGCTACTAAAAAACCTTTTCCTACAAAATATCAACTAGTGAATTTTGTTGAAATTTCTCTACCTCACTCTGTAATAAATGCTGATTATTACTGAACAAATCTGGAGAATCTGTTGAGTCATAAAGAACAGGCGTCACATTTTCAATTTCATGAAATCGTTTCCATTCACGTGCTTCCAACGAAGATGGCAAGAGAATTGGTTGAGGGATTTGATCGTCTACATGAGAAAAATCCCATGAAAAAATCCATGCTTTCAATTTAAGGCCTGGGTGTACTACCTTTCGAATGTTATCTGGATTTTTTTTTATCTTTCGTAAAATTCTGTGAAATTTTCACAGAAATACGGGGAAAAATTCACGTTTTCCCCATTAAAATTTCTAGTACCGGCACTGAAATTTTTTCCAGGCCGTCACTTTGCGCCTCTTTTCCCGTGCTAGCACTAGAATTTTTCTAAAAAATTTCTCTACTTGCAAAGAGCGTTTATAATGGAGATTCAGAATGAGTTAAAAAAGTGGAAATTTTAAATATCTGATTCATTTTCCATCGTGGATAACAAAACACTAACTCCTCATGGGAAGTTACAACTAGGTATTTCAGTTTTCAAAACAGTGGTATGTAGTCATCTGCCATTTTTATGTGATAAAAGTGTGATTAAAAAAATTTCCAAAATATTACAACTTTTTTCAAAGAGCCTTTTCCGTAATAAATGTCTCTGTGCAGTGTGGGAAAAGATTTACGAAATCAGTCGCCCCCCTGCATGATATTGGGTGACAGGTCGCCATTTGTCACCGTAAATCAGATACATTTTTCAGTTTCTTGTTATTTAACTTATTCTGAATATAAATTAAAAATTCTTTGAAAAAATATCTTCTACTTTTTTTTTGATTATTCGTTCATAATTTTTCAAAACTTCTGCATGATGCAGGACTCAATTAACAATTTCAGATGACGAAAGATGAAAAAAAATATCGAGATAACGCTCGAAAGATAGTACACCGGGACCTTGATGTAAAATTTTCACTGAAGCAGTCAGAAATTTACCCCACGTTTCACTGCCAGACACGTCACTCCATAAATTCCAAGGAATCGACGATTTCTTCTCCATCTCTGGGATCATTACCACTCACCACTAAAAACATTCATTCATTTGTTTAATATTCGAAATAAAATGACACAACTTTATTTAAGAAAAAAGTATATTTTTTTTTTCTAGGAAATAGGTCGCTTTTACATAGCGTCAATTTAATGACGCTTACAACTCAATAATATAAAATAATTGTAAATGATTGATACTGTTCCTGTAGTTATGTAAAGTCTTCTAAAAAAATATTATCTAAATTTATGCGAAAATATATCATTTCTAGCGGTAAATAAACATTCGTAGGAATTTTAATAATTAAAGTTAGCAGAAGGGAGGAGAAAATTTCATCGAAAATTTTTTAATTGGATTTCTATTGAAAATTCCATTAGTTTTTCGTCGTTTTGTCCAAAAAAGTATTCAATTTCTCGACAATTTTTCTTTAAAAAATATTTAATAAGAAGTATTTTATAGAGACAGCCCATTCAGATGTTTTCTATACAAAATTCCCCACATTAATTTTCACAGAAAAAATCACAACAGAATAAATTGTATAAAAACATCAAAATCGATTGATTACCTCTATAAAATATTTTCTGTTAAACATTTCTATCTGCAAAAATCGTGGGAAAGCTGCCAAATTGTTCAATAGAATCGACGAAACCGCAACGAATTTTTTAATAAAAGTTCAATAAAATTGACAGGTTTTGCCCTCAAATTTTTTTGCAAATCACTGTCAAATGTAAAATAAAACATTCATGAAATTTATCCATCGCTTCTGCAGGGCTATGTTAAACTGAGCGGCAAATGGAGAACATTTCAGATCATTTAATGCAGTAAAAAATCCATTTGGCAAGGAGAACATATTTCGAACATCAGAGGAAATGTGGGCAATTACAAGAGTAGAGTATCCACAATTTTCAATAATAAATATGTAAATTCTCTCTAACAATAAGAATCTAGTAATATTCATTCCAATATCTTCATAATTTCTGGTGGCACGATTAATATGCCTCCTCTCATTATTTTCCTCCTTAATTGCTGTGATATTTGAGATAGAAATGGATGGAATTGCGCGTTTTCCATCAATGACCTGTCTTTACTCTTCATTCGATAGAAATACATCTTGCGCTCTCGCATCCATTGGAAAATAATGCATCCTAGGAGGGAGTGAAAATAAGTCTAATCAGTTCTCAAGTCTTTCAGAATACTGCGTTTGTGATTTCACAGACGAAATTAATCAGTAGAAAATCCTCATTGGAGAATATCTCGCGTAAAATAATCGACAGAGAAAAATCTGATGAAAAGTCACTCGATTTATCTCCTATTGAATATTTCTAGTCCATGAAACCAACAGAATCGGATAGAACTGCATAGCAAAAGCTATAATTTTCGATTTAATGTTGTCATGCATGAAATTGTGACATAATGAATTTCGAGAAATTAATTATTTTTTATTCTGAAAATCCATCTGGGGTAGTTGGCAGTTGCACGAAAGAATTAGAAAGAACTCACACGTAAGAAAAAATTTAATTGGAAAACGCAGAGCTTCTCTATTGGAACTCAATAAGAATTCTATTAAATATTAAAAATTCTATTTGTTTTTTGTGGTGATTTCCATTTTCATTGGAAACTGTGCAATTGAGGCATACATTTTTCAATGAATATTTTTGGACAGAAAAAAATCAACAAAGGGTAATTTTTCCTTCAAGATTTTTCCAAGTTTCCATTCACTTTTTCGAATTTTGTAATGAGAAACAATGAAAGTACAGTATAATTCTTCTAGAAATATCAAGATTTATGAATTTTTTCCATCAAATATCTAGCAAAAAATGGATGTTAAAACCCAACAGCATTTCTTAACAGAACTCTACCGAAATTTCATAGCAATTCGACAAAATTTCGTAGAATAAACGTTTTTCTATTAAATTTTTCACTGCACGAAGTTTTTTCCATGGGAACTCGAATTCTATTGAAATTTTATTAAAAATTTAGTATTTTTTTGCGCTGATTTTCATTGAAAATTATTCACTTGACCCATTCATTTTTGAATAAATATTTTTGGAAGGAAAAAAGTCAATGGATTTTAATTTTGATATATAACTCATTCTTCTAAATTCCTGTATTTGTACTCTAAGAATTTTTATACATTTAAATCATCTTTTATTTAAATCATCCTAAATTTATATGGAGAAACAGAGAAAAAACACTCTAATTCGTACAGAATTTTTGCCAAATTTCGTAGAAAAAATGTTTTTCTATTAAATTTTTCACTTAAAAAAAGTGAATGGATCTTAATTTGTGTATATGACTCATTCTTCTAAACTCCTCTGAGTTTGTCCTCAAAGAATTTCAATATTTTTCACAGTTTTGAAATAATTTTCTAATGAATTATATATATGAAAAATACGTCCAGCTGTTCCTTCGCAAAAAACGACACAAAAAAAACAAAATTTTTTAAAAATTTTCCCTAAAGTAGTTCTCATAAAAATTTCTTAAAATTCTCCAGAAAAAAAAGTTTTTCTCGTAAAATTTGTCATACATGTCCTGCTACTCCCTAATCTATTCCCCTTCAGGGCTAGTCCATCACTCTCAACCATGAAAGATGAAATAAGATTGGCACTTTTAAATTTAAGACCCTAATCATAAATAAACGAGTGAAATTATTGCAGACGAATTCAGTGATTTTTGCTGGGTCCCGAGGCCCTCTGGTCCTCCATGCGACCAGCTTGTAGCCGCTGGATGAGAGAGAAGAGGTCCTCCTCAGGGACAGTTGTGCCTGACCGAGTGGCACCATTTGCTCTTTGGTTCTGCTCCTCCTCGGTGTCCTGAACTGTCGATGCTGCTGGCAATGGGCTCCTCTGGTCCTCCAGCCTCGAGCTCTGGCAACGCAGGAGCATGTCGATGAACGAATCGTCAGCGTCCTGAGGATTTCGCATTGGGGTCTTCATGGCCGCTTGGGTCTTTGGGTTTGTGTTTAAACCTGGGAGATAGGGGAGGGTCACTCTCTGCTCGTCCATTCGTTTGCTCTGCATTCCAGCGATTAACTCCAATAGGTCGTCACCGTCTCTGCGAGAGAATTATTCAAGTGAATTTCAGGGATTTAATTGGAAAAAAATGAAGAGGATTTTTTGGGATTTTTAAATGCAAAAAAAAATTACGTTTTGATTAGTTTCATTACGTCTGAAAAATTAGAATTTAAATTTGAATTGAAAAGAATTGAAATAATAACGACTTTAATTTATAATTAAAATTTTACATTGATTTTTAGTAATTGCAGTAATAATCATTGAAATTCAAATTGAAAATTAATAAAAAGTCGATGTATTTTTAAAAATTCTGGGGCATAATTGTTCAAATTTCATTTCTTTTGTCGTCGTAATACGAAAAAAAACAACAGAAGAACCTCAGAACGTTTAGAAATTCTTTATGCCCAAGAATTTTTCGCAGAAAAAATCTCAAGAAAATGAAATGTTTTCATGCGAAACTTTAATGAAGATAGTGAAAAAATGTCACGTGTCAAGTATACACTGATCACTCACTTCTCTTTGTCTGGTGGAGGTGCCTTTGTCCTCATCTTCTTGGTAGTCTTGAGGACACAGCGTTGATCATCCATTCTCCCAGACTGGAACCTTGTGAGGAGTTCGAAGAATTCCTCCTCCTCCTCTTCTTGCGAGGGCTGGGGGGCGATGCCAGCTCGAGCTAGTGGTGGCTCAATATCCTTCTGCTTCCCATCCGGAGTCAACTGTCACAAATCAAGCAAACCAATTAATTGAATACGTAATTAATTAATTGATTAAGAACAATCTTAATGATGCCACGAAAGTTTCTGCCAGAAAAATTCTATTTGGAATAGATGAAGAATTTGATTCAATTAATTAAAAACTCATGAATTCTTTTCAATTTGAAAATTCTGACGGAGAAAAAATACAACTTAAAAATATTATCTGAATTAATCCTTTCGAATTTTCAATCTTCTCCATATTTTCAAATATGGAACGGATATGAATATTTTCAAGTTTTATTATCTCATTTTAACGGGAAGAAACTACAAAATGGAAAACATTGGGGGGCGGAAAGAAATGAAAAATTAAATTTTTTAATGTCTCTGGAAAATTTCAAAATCAATACATTTTTTCGAATAATGAAAGAATACCGTCAATTCGATTTCTATTCGTCTTTTGATAAAATGATCAATGTAATGAATAACATTGCATATAAAAAATTACGAATTGGAGCCTGAAAATTTTAGAAAAGCAATAATCGGCTGGAAAATGGAAAAATTGGTTTGTCTTCATTTGTGTCGGTGGAAACTTAAAATTACCGCTTTTTTCAAATATAGAAAGGAAATAAAAATTCTCAAGTTTTATGATCTCATTTTACCGAGAAGAAACGAAAAAATGCAAAATAACGTGGGCGGAAAGAAATGAAAAATTAAATTTTTCAATGTCTCCGAAAAGTTTTAAAATCGATATATTTTTTCGAATAATGAAAGAATACCCATAAATTCGATTTCTATCCCTGTCTTTCTATAGAATAAAAAGAGTAAATGCCAAAAATTACGAATTTGAGACTAAAAATTGAATGCGATTATCATTAAATAATAATAACGTAATACTAAATAATGTTGAACCACCAAAAATACCTTGATGAGATCCAAATTATCCATGCTCTGTCTCCTGAGTCGATACCTCCCAGGTGACGAGGCAGCCACACTGTTCCCAGAATTGGGATTATTATTCCCCTTGTCATTCTCCTTCTCATTGTTCTCCATCCCCAGTATCTTCTGCAGATCCGCAACATTAATCTGCGCAGTTGCCTGTCCCATCGGATCCCCGAGTTCCTTGGAGATATCGAGATGAAGAGTGGCAAAATGAAGTGCCTTCTCATGATTACCCATCGCTGAATAGGCATTACCGAGGGACCAGCAGGCACGTCCCTCGCCCACGCGATCCATCAATTGCTGGGCAATGACCAAGTGACGCAGATGGTACTCAATCGCCGAGGAATAGTCCCGCAGAAGTGTGTAGGTATTACCCAACGAGTAGCACGCCTGTGCCTCCACAGCACGATCTCCAAGCTCCTGAGCAAGGACGAGGGTTCTCTTGTAATGCTGAGCAGCTTTCTCAAACTCCCCCAGGAAAATGTGGGAATTACCGAGATTGCTGTTGGCTCTCCTCTCCGCTGCTTTGTCACCGAACTCTCGGGCTATTTTCAACCTGTAGTTGGACGCATGAAAACATTTTCTGTAAGAATTCTATTGGCAAATTTGATTTGTTTTTTTTTTTGAAAATTATACAACTCTTCCGTTCGTTTTTACATTGATATTTTCTTACAGAAAGAAGTCTGTAGATGTTTGCTTTTGTATATAAGTCATTCTGATGGCATTTTTTCTCGAAAAATTCTTGGGGATGAACGTTTGAAGTTTCTATCTTGTTTATCTGTCTTCTATTGTGGAGGAACAAATTAGAAAATTCATGCCCAAGAATTTCTATAGATAAGTCATATTCTATTGAATTTTTTACATCAAATAACTTGAGAAAATGACGCGGTAAAGGTGCGTAATCTTTGATAGAATTGACGTAAACAAGTGGCAAGTGCATTTTTTAAATAAACGAGTATAGTTATTGTTGCTAATAAATTAGTAATTTGCTTCCAAATGGGTTCTGTTTTTCAATTCTTATTTCACTATTCTCTTCTATTTTTTCGTGTCATAGTACTATCATCAATTGAAATGTCATCGACATTTTGCGTATTACTTCGTTCTGTCAATTAATTCTACATTCAGACCCTCTCAAGACTCGAATTCGTTGTCAGTCCGGGTTTAATTAAGGTTCAATCAAGGTTTAATCAGTGTATAGCCGGGATTTAATCAGGGTTTATTCAGGATTTAGCCAGAGTTTAACCGAGGTTCTGTCAGAAGTTAGTCGGGACCATGAATCAATATGAATAAGTATTCAATATAATAGACTGATACCTGAGTTTAATCGAGATAGAAATTTTTATATAAAAATGTTCTGTTCTCACAATTTTTCAACTTGATTAAGAAGCCATTGAAATACGGTACGTGACTTTTTGGCGCCCCGAGAAAATACTAAATTTGGGTGTCTTTTAACATCATTTCCGATTGAAATATACTTTTCAAGCCCTAATTTAATGGCTATTACTGATGATTCTTTCAGTAATAATGAAAAAACCCATTTTCTCTTACAAATCGCATAAACAATGTGCTGTAACTCAACAACGAATTGTGCGACCCCCATCATATTCTGATAGAATCAAGACGGTATTGTTATCAATTTTTTTAGCCATGACTAATTCCATTTTGATGATAATTTTTTGAGTGATCGATGAAAAATCGATTTTTGGAAAAATATCAATTTTTTCGAATCTGTATGAAAGATTGAATTTTAATCAGTGTCAATGAATAGAGCTTATTAAAGTCTATATTCATGAAAAAAATCATGAAATTCGATAGATCCCTTGGAAGCCAATTCCGAAAAAAAATGAAGAAAAAAATCATCTAAAAATCGCATATTCAAACTTTTTAGGCCACACTTAGTGACCCTATTACCAAAAATTGCAAACTTTAACTTGGGAAATCACAAAGCTCCCATCCGGAAGCAAAAACCAAGTGACTATTTCGTAATAATTTACAAACCGTTCATTGTGATAGAAAATGGCCTTTTGGAACTCCCCCAGTAGATAAAAAGTGTTCCCCAGATTCCCACAGGCCCTCCCCTGAGCTGCCGAATCCCCCAGTTCCTTCATGAGCGCCAGATTCTCCTCGTAGTACCCCACCGCCTGCTGGAGGCACTGTCTGATGTCCTCCGAGAACTTCCCAGGATCGTGGGGGCCCCGACCCCCCTGCTTTCCCTTCGCGTGGTAGACGTTTCCAAGGTTGTAGAGGGCCCTCCCCTCGCTCAACTTGTCCCCGATCTCTCGCGATATCTCGAGGTGTCGCTTGCAGCAGATCATCGCCTCGTCGAACTTGCCCATTACCTTGAGGGTGTTCCCCAGGTTCCCACTGGACTTGGCTTCACCCAGTTTGTCCCCCATCGATCGGGCCAGGGTCAAGTCGTGCTTGTGGTACTGCATCGCTCGCACGTAATCCCCGAGGTAGAAGTAGGCATTCCCCAGCTGGCTGTATATTGCACTCAGGGTTCGTAAGTCGTCGGTGCCGGCTTGGATCGCCGCTTGGAAGAAGGCGACACCTGATCTACAGTCGCCTGCTTTGCACAGACGCTCACCCTCGAGGGCTAGTTCCAGGCACATGTTGCTGTCGCTTCCTCCATTCTTGAAATTCATTTTTGAAATTGGAGAAATCTGATTTTTGACGTGGATACGTCTGTTTTTATTAGGGGGGGCATTTAGGGAGAAAGTCCTTATGGGTCCTTATCGATAGTGGCGCCATCTATCGGGATTCTCTAGAAAATTCTAGATTTTTCCAGCAAATCCCAGATTTTTCGAGAAAATTCTCCAGTTTTTTTTATAAATTACAATTCTTAAGGGTTGTTATACAGTCGGTTATTATTGCAACAGATAAAGTTTGTGGGTCCGTATTAAGGGGGGGCTCCGTTCATACTTCCGCGACTGTACAATCGTCAAAATAAGTTCCGCCAGTCCGCGAGGTTAGCTACGAATTTCGGTTTTCCCAGGGGCTAGTCGACGTCCGCCAAAATCAATTTTTTTAGCCGGGTGAACGTTGATTCCAGCTATTTAAGCGACGGGCTATTCAGAACTCTCAAAAGTATGTGGAAAAAGTGAAAACTGAAAAAGTGTTTTTTTGCAGATTTTCAAAGGGTCAGATTTTCCGGTTTCCAGGGTGAAAGTCGACTAGCACCGAAATCGAATTTTTTAGCCGGGTGAACTTTGATTTTAACTATTTAAGCGACGGGCTATTCAGAACTCTCAAAAGTATGTGGAAAAAGTGAAAACTGAAAAAAAAAATTTTCACCGAGGGCCAAAGTATCAGATTTTGGATTGTTTCAGGGGGAAAGTCGGTGAAAGGGTCACGAGGGCCAAAGTGTCAGGTGTTGGATTTTTCCAGGGGGAAAGTCGACTTTCGCCAAAATTGAATTTTTGCCGGGTGAACGTTGATTCCAACTATTTAAGCGACGGGCTTAAAGAGGACGGGTAGATATTCATATCTTGTCTGACATCTCTGCTACAAACTCTGGTCATCAACTCTGGTTGCAATTGAAAACCACTTCACTTGAAGTTTTTTTCGTTCTATTTTTCTTTTCTTTTCATAAAAAAAAGAACATCGAACAAAAAAACTTGGACAATTTCAGCCAAGGAAATTCTATAGACATTTCAATTGAATACGTTGTATAGACAAATCGAATTGGATAGGTTTTTCTATCAAATTTTTTCAAACGTGTAGATTCAAAATTTGGCATTTCATGTCTGAAACATTGAATACTATTCCATCACGCACGAACAAATTTAATAGAAAAACCTATCGAATTCGTGAGAAAATTCTATTGAATTTCTATTAAACTTTCTGCTAGTTTTTGGCTGATTCTATTGACATGTTCAATAGAAAACATTCAATAGAAAAAGTCAACAGCATTAGATTTTTCTATATACCTTATTCTTTTTATATATCTTCTGTAGAATTTGCTCGACTCAAATTTTCCAAGTTTTTTCACTCTATTTTTTTTTCTTCTCATCAAGAAAATCAAACGAAAAAACTGAGTTGGGGAAAATTGGAGCCGAGGAAATTCTGTAGAAAATATCTCAATAGAATAATTTATATAGAAAAATTGAATTCTATTGGCTTTTTCTACTAAATATTTTCTATTGGACATTTCAATAGAATTTCAATACAATTTTCCAACGAATTCGATAGGTTTTTCTGCTCCTAAATGCCAAATGCATAATGAAATGATTTTGCTCCTCAATATTTCAATTCTCAGTCCATTAACTTAGGGGAGGATGGGGTAAAGACACTGGACTTTTTTTCAATTACTCATAACTCAGAAACAAATTTATCAATTGAGCTCAGTTTAGGCTCATCACAGAGCGAAAGAAATGTTCTTTGCACTGAAAAAAAAAATTATTGAATTTCATCAACATTTCAGGCTGTCATTAACATTAAAAAAAAGTCAAGTGTCCATTTTACCCCAACCTCCCCTCCTTGAAAAATTCCTAAGAGTGTAACCACTCCTCAATATACTACACATTTTTTTATTTTATGTCTTGATGAGACAAATGACTCACTCCATGACTGGATAACAAACCATAAAAAATGATTCAGAGAGTAATAATTTTACCTGGGCCTCCCCCGTCAAATTCTCCACACTAGCACTACTGTACGACATGCTCACTCCTCTCAATCAATCCAAATGGACCAAAAGTTATTCAATTAATAAAACAATGAGTCCTTGTTTGTGTCGTGTGATTCAACTTCCTCTGTTGTGCACTGACGTCTCACACCCATGCATTTTTCCCACTTCCTCGTTGCACTTTATTGATTACCCCGGGGTTTATTCATAAAGTGAGTCTATAATTATCTTTTTTTATTCAAAAAACTTGTCAATCAAATACGCGTCATCTGGCGTTATACGTTGGGCATTCAACACACACCCTCTTTTTTTCGTACTAAACACAATCGACGTGCAGGCGGATTTCAAACTGAATAGTCGATTGTTGGGTTTGGGTTTTCATGGAAGAGCAGTTGAGAGACACTGCGGAAGGCTCGACCAATCATATTTGAGATGTCAAGGCGGCAATGTGACCGTCACATGACGGTCATATGACCGAATCCAATTTTTTTTTATGTCAGGTGAATCCAATTTTTTTAAAAATATTTCTTTCTTCTTTTTTCTTTCAAAGTGTCAGAAAATATGATCAAAACTCCAATAATTCCAAAAAATGTCTTGACATTCTTCTCTGTACGGAAAAATTTCATAGGAAAACCTAGCGAATTCGCTAGAAAATTGGATTGGATTTCTACTGAACTTTCTATTAGTTTTTGGAAGATTCTGTTAAAAAATTGGGCACTTCACTACTCATTTTTTGAGTATTCGTAATGAAAGTTGTTGATTAGAGCGGGGGAGGGTAAAATCAGTAGTGAGGCGGTAAACCGAGTTAAGTCAATTTTGACTATTAGCCAGTTTTTGCTGAATATCTCGGAATCTAAGAGAGATAGCAAAATTTTCCTCATAACTTTTTTTATAACGCTACATTGGCTCTACAAAAAAGGTCATGACAAAAATCTTTCTATCTCTTTTAGATTCCGAGATATTCGTCAAAAACTAGCCAATAGTAAAGATCGACTTAACCCGGTTTACCACTTCGCTACTGAAATGGACTTTTGACTTTTTTAAAAATATTCATAACTCAGAAACAGATTTATCAATTGAGCTCAATCTAAGCTCATCACAAAGAGGAATCATTGTTTTGTCAATTGAAAAATAAAATTATTCCATTTTACTAACAATTCAACACGTCATGAATATTTCAAAAAAAGTCAAAACTGTCTGTTTTACCCTACCCTCCCCTATTTTTTTTTATTTTGCGGGAAGGCAATCCCAATTTTCTTCAAAGTATCTTTTTTCGTAACGGTCACATTCTCAAAAATGACGGTAATTTTACCTCTGCCAAACTCCAGTGGTTCTCCACCCTCAACTTTCAAACGAACTGCAGAACAGCAGTGTTAGCGCGCAGGCGCAGTGGAACCAGCAGTTCACATCACTCCAGTGGAGACCACCTTTTACGAGGGAATCCAACCCCGCCGGTGTAACAATTAGAGTAATTTTTGTCCCCTGAATTAATCGAGGAGAGGACTGATAATGTCACCTGCAGCTGAACCAATGCTGAAGGAGAAGGTTGAAAAGCCGTCCCGAGGTATCAATGCTGTTCTACTTGGACCACCGGGGAGTGGAAAGGGAACGCAGGTACACCTTTGACCCTTGAACTTATCGAAACCTTTTTCTGTCCTCATCTGTCCTCACTCTCAATACTCGCTCGATCCAATGATAGCGAATTTTTAATTAGAAGTCTTGAATATTCAGTGCGATCCGATTTTTATGGAACTTGAGCCGATTTTTGTTATGAAAAATCAGGTTATCGGGTACTTTTTGGAGTATTTACAAAAATTTACAATTTTCACATATGAAAAAATTTAAGGCCCGGGTGTAGTCTTTCGAACGTTATCTCGATGTTTTTGTTCATCTTTCGTCATCTGAAATTGTCAATTAAGTCCTGCATCATGCAGAAGTTTTGAAAAATTATGAATGAATAATCAAAAAAAAGTAGAAAAAATTCTCAATTTTTTCAAAGAGCATTTTTAATTTATATTCAGAATAAGTTGAATAACAAGAAATTGAAAAATGTCTCTGATTTACGGTGACAAATGGCGGCCTGTCACCCAATATCATGCAGGGGGAAGACTGATTTCGTAAATCTTTTCCCACACTGCACAGAGACATTTATTATGGAAAAGGCTCTTTGAAAAAGGTTGTAATATTTTGGAAAATTTTTTAATCACACTTTTATCACATAAAAATGCCAGATGACTACATACCACTGTTTTAAAAATTGAGATACTTAACTGTCACTTCCCATGAGGAGTTAGTGTTTTGTTATCCACCATGGAAAATGACAGCTAATAGATAATTTGCCACAGCGAATCAGATATTTGTAATTTCCACTTTTTTCAACTCATTCTGAATCTCAATTAAAAACGCTTTTTGAAAAAGTTGAGAATTTTTTTCTATTTTTTTTATCATTCTATCATAATTTTTGGGAATTTCTGCATGATATACCACTCAATTGACAATTTTGGATTACGAAAGATGAAAAAATCTAGATAACATTCGAAAGATAGTACACCTGGGCCTTAAACCCCAAATATTCACGATTTTCTTCAAATTTCTCACGCAATTTAATTGACAAATTTGATGATCAAAAATGCTTGAATCTGTAAAAAAACCTGAAATGGTTTAACATTCTTTCAACCTTGAATCTGTAAAAGAAATCTGTAAATTGTAAAAGCTATACATCAAACTGTAGAAGACAACTCAATTGACAATTTTGGATTACGAAAGATGAAAAAATCCAGATAACATTCGAAAGATAGTACACCTGGGCCTTAAACCCCAAATATTCACGATTTTCTTCAAATTTCTCACGCAATTTAATTGACAAATTTGATGATCAAAAATTCTTGAATCTTTAAAAAAACCTGAAATGGGTTAACATTCTTTCAACCTTGCATCTGTAAAAGAAATTGTAAATTGTAAAAGCTATACATCAAACTGTAGAAGACCACTCAATTGACAATTTTGGATTACGAAAGATGAAAAAATCCAGATAACATTCGAAAGATAGTACACCTGGGCCTTAAACCCCAAATATTCACGATTTTCTTCAAATTTCTCACGCAATTTAATTGACAAATTTGATGATCAAAAATGCTTGAATCTGTAAAAAAACCTGAAATGGGTTAACATTCTTTCAACCTTGAATCTGTAAAAGAAATCTGTCAATTGTAAAAGATATACATCAAACTATAGAAGACCACTCAATTGACAATTTTGGATTACGAAAGATAAAAAAATCCAGATAACATTCGAAAGATAGTACACCTGGGCCTTAAACCCCAAATATTCACGATTTTCTTCAAATTTCTCACGCAATTTAATTGACAAATTTGATGATCAAAAATTCTTGAATCTTTAAAAAAACCTGAAATGGATTAACATTCTTTCAACCTTGAATCTGTAAAAGAAATCTGTAAATTGTAAAAGATATACATCAAACTATAGAAGACCACTCAATTGTAATTTTGGATTACGAAAGATGAAAAAATCCAGATAACATTCGAAAGATAGTACACCTGGGCCTTAAACCCCAAATATTCACGATTTTCTTCAAATTTCTCACGCAATTTAATTGACAAATTTGATGATCAAAAATGCTTGAATCTGTAAAAAAACCTGAAATGGTTTAACATTCTTTCAACCTTGCATCTGTAAAAGAAATCTGTAAATTGTAAAAGCTATACATCAAACTGTAGAAGACCACTCAATTGACAATTTTGGATTACGAAAGATGAAAAAATCCAGATAACATTCGAAAGATAGTACACCTGGGCCTTAAACCCCAAATATTCACGATTTTCTTCAAATTTCTCACGCAATTTAATTGACAAATTTGATGATCAAAAATTCTTGAATCTTTAAAAAAACCTGAAATGGATTAACATTCTTTCAACCTTGAATCTGTAAAAGAAATCTGTAAATTGTAAAAGATATACATCAAACTGTAGAAGACCACTCAATTGACAATTTTGGATTACGAAAGATGAAAAAATCCAGATAACATTCGAAAGATAGTACACCTGGGCCTTAAACCCCAAATATTCACGATTTTCTTCAAATTTCTCACGCAATTTAATTGACAAATTTGATGATCAAAAATGCTTGAATCTGTAAAAAAACCTGAAATGGTTTAACATTCTTTCAACCTTGCATCTGTAAAAGAAATCTGTAAATTGTAAAAGATATACATCAAACTATAGAAGACCACTCAATTGACAATTTTGGATTACGAAAGATGAAAAAATCCAGATAACATTCGAAAGATAGTACACCTGGGCCTTAAACCCCAAATATTCACGATTTTCTTCAAATTTCTCACGCAATTTAATTGACAAATTTGATGATCAAAAATGCTTGAATCTGTAAAAAAACCTGAAATGGTTTAACATTCTTTCAACCTTGAATCTACATGAAACTGTAGAAGACCCTTCAATACCCTTAAATTTGTGCCAATAACCGTTTTACCGAAATACCGTGAAATGCCTGATAAACGCGATTCTCCGCAGGCTCCCTGGCTGAAAGAAAAGTACTGCGTGTGCCACCTGTCCACGGGTGACATGCTGCGTGCCGAGGTGGAGGGTGGTTCAAAGTTGGGTGCCGAGCTGAAGAAGATAATGGACCAGGGTCAGCTGGTCAGTGACGATCTCGTCGTCGAGATGATCGACAAGAACCTGGACAAGCCGGAGTGCAAGCGAGGCTTCCTCCTGGACGGTTTCCCCAGGAGTGTCCCCCAGGCGGAGAAGCTCGACGGCCTCCTGGCCAAGAGAAAACAGAAGCTGGACGCTGTGATCGAGTTCGGAATTGACGACAACTTGCTCGTGAAGAGGATCACAGGGCGTCTGATTCACTTGCCAAGTGGCAGGTCTTACCACGAGGAGTTTGCACCCCCCAAGGTCCCCATGAAGGACGACGTCACTGGTGAACCCCTCAGCAGGAGGTCTGATGACAATGCCACTGCCCTGAAGAAGCGTCTTGCCACCTATCACAGCCAGACACAGCCCCTTGTCGATTACTACGCCATCCAGGGGGTCCACAACTACGTCAATGCTGCCAAGTCCAGTGAGCAAGTGTTCAAGGACATCGACGCCATCTTCATGAAGGCCATCAAGCAGGACGAGCAGAAGAAGGGATTCTTCAGCAGGTTTTTTTGAGGTTCCAGCACCTCGAGTGTTATCTTTCAGAATATTTTTCTCGGGGGCAATGGGCGATTTAGGTGTTACAGTTCTAGATGTTGCAGTTACATTATTGTAATTGTAATGCTGACGTATGCAAGATTCCAGTTGTCTTAGGGGACTAGCTTCAATTTTAATGGGCGCATTGGGGAGTAGGGAGGGCTGTTGTTACACGCACGAAAAAATTTCGGAGAAAGAACTAGCGAATCCGGTGGGTCATTCTTGGCTACTTCATTTGGGTGCTCCTAGTGAAATTTTTTATAGAAAATGTTTTATATAAAAAAGTCAATTGAAGTCGATTTTTGTATTCAAGTTGGTCTGTTGAAATGCTTTCTGTAGAATTTCCTAGACTCAAATTTTCCAAGTTTTTTAAAATTACATTTTCCGTTTTTTTCAGCAAGAAAATCAAACAAAAAAATTGGAAAATTTGAGACGAGGAAATTCTATAGAAAATATCTCAATAGAATACGTTAAATGGAAAAATCTAATTCTATTGATGTTTTCTATAGAATATTTTCGGTTGAACATTTCAATAGAAAGTTCGTTAAATATCCACTAGAATCGTCTAACAAATTCGCTAGGTTTTTCTATTTTTTTTTCATACGTGATATGAGATAAAGATTTTAATGTTTTCTTTTTTTGTCGTAGGCAGGGGTAAAACTTGATGATTGAGGTTGGACATTTTTCAGTATTGGGAATTTGAATTCAATTTGAGATCACATTTTTTATGGAATTTTTTAATGGAAACTTATGATAGAAACTTGATAGAAAAAGTCAATAGATTTTTATTTCTCTGCATGAATTATTCTTTTGAATTTCATTCTACAGAAAATTTTGGTAATTAATTTTCTCCTTCTTTGAATAATAAAAAAAATTTCTCTTGTTATAGAATCCAAGAAAAAAAATGGCAAATTCATGCCCAAGAATTTTTATACAAAAACATTCAAGAGAATAATTTATTTAGCGAAATCGAAATCTGCCTTTTTCCCATTAAATTTTTTCAAAATAAAAAAATGCCCCTTAAAATTTTCTTCTTCAAACCAACCGATTGCAATTGATTCATCATGTTTTATCAATTGCCTATTGAATTATCGACTTCAAATCATTCATAAAATACTGCCAATTATTTGCGCACACTGACACATTTTTACGTATTAATTTGTTCTTCTTATTACTTCGAAGCTTGACTCGTAAAAAGATTAAATTGCCTAATAAATGTACATAAAAAGTAAGTCTAATATTTTTAGATGATATTGAAGCGAGCAGAACGGAAATACGTTTATAAATATGATGAGATATATTCTGTTACATAATGAAGTGTATACAATTGGGGAAAGATGAAAGATAATAAAATTTCTGGTAGACAATCTTGCGTAACGATAATTAGCCTTGACTTGTTGTTATTGGAGTGCTTAGTCACTTTGATTATTAATCCATTCCTCTCCTTTGAGTTGACATAAAAAGTTTATGTAAAATAACACAGTCCGTGCGTCACTCATGAAAGAAATTTGATAGAAAAAAATAGCTCATTTTGAGATTTGAAATGTTTTAAAATAATATTTTCAAGTCTCAGTTCTTTTTTTTTAGTCTATTGAAAAAAAAACGCACAGACTTCAATTGAATTTTCCACCAAATGTGTAAATTTTTGTACGAAATTTTATTATACGTCTAACTTACCGAATTTCATACAGACTTCTTCCCCCCACCTCTAAACTTCTTCCCCCCACTCCACCCTACCCTTCCCACTGGAGGGGATGCACAGGTACAACAACCCACGCTATTCACCTGTCTCACCAGTCTTCGATTCCGACCACAACAAACATGGCGCCCACCCCCGTGACACCTAAACAAAACCCCAAAATATCATTAAACGAAGCCATCTAAATCTTCGCAAACCGCCATAAACCCCCTAAAAAACTAAAAAACCCCAGTGTTATCACTTCCAAAAATGTGTGTAAACTCCCCTAAAGTTAGACCCTAAACTCAACCCAACACCCCCTACAATCAGACCCTAAACTCAATCCAATCCTCCCTAAAGTTAGACCCTAACTCAACCCAACCGCTTTTCAAAATTTGACCCTAAACTCAACCCAACTTCCCTTAAAGTTTGACCTTAAACTCAATTCAACCTCCCCTTAAAGTTAGCCCCTAAATTCAACCCAACCCCCCTCTTAAAGTTTGATCCTAAACTCAACTCAACCCCCCTCAAAGTTTGAACCCTAAACTCAACCCAACTCCCCCTGAAGTTAAACCCTAGCTCAACCCTAACTAACCTTAACTAAAGACCCTAATTAACCCTATCTCAACTCAACCCCCTATTAAAGTTTGACCCTAAACTCAA